AATTTTGGGACACCTGATAAATTCACGATAAATATAGATCTGTTTTTAATGATGAAAACAAAAATATGGATTCCATTGTTGAATAACAAAAATATATTTTAATAACTTGAATCAGTTTATTTGACATGTGAACTTAGCTGACGTTAATAGGGTAAAAGTAAAAATTTTATATTTCATGTCTATATCCAGTTGAACTTTTCGGATACAATATTTAGTTGGAACGTTAAATTTTTAAAATATTTTTTTCAAAACAGTGCTGTTCGAATTTTTGAATGTCGCATGTTGTGGCATTTCGCCAGACATTGCCTTCGAGTATTTCGCTTAATGAATGATATATTTACACTTTTGAATCATTCCCAGACAAAACAGAATAAAAAATATGTGTAAAATAAGTATGCACACAGACGTTAAACACGTTTTACGATCAAATTTAATAATCTGTTCCTCGTGGCCCCATTGAAGGTACTTGAATAAATGTTCTACATGTACATTACAATTATTTTGATAAAAATATGTGTGACCCAATATTAAAGCTTCCGGAAAAATTATTTTATTTAACTTAAAATTTGAGCCAACTTAGCACATCAGCACACTGAAAATTCATAGTTTTCAACAAATCGTTATTTGGAGAGAAAGTAATATGACAATGCGGCAATTATTTCACATATTCCTGCAGAATTTGTAACAGCAAACAGTTTTGTTTGTGATTTGGGACAGTTGCCATATACAGACAAACACGAAAACGTTAAATAAATAACGTTAAAATTATTGTCAATAGGGTGACAAGAACTTTCTTCCGTGTCTATTTAAAAAATATACACTGTATTGAATGTCATTTTCTTAATATGGTAAAGTAAAATTAAGTAAATAAGTGCGGTTTCCACTTTTTAATTGCATTAAGTACAAGAACGTGTAAAATGTTTAGTTAACAAGATTTCATCATTTTTTATTTTAATTTGCGAATTCGAAAGACTATACAGGGTGTTAATTAACTTATGTCAAAAATTTAAAGGGGTGAAAAAGGAGCAAAAACTGAGTTAACTGATGTCACAAACTTGTATCGGAAGTTTAAGGTGAGAAAAAAGCTAATTAAAAATGTATTTAAAACTGTTGTGGAACTGCTGAAATACATGTATCATATCGCCGCGAGGACTTACACAAAAGTCTGTACCACTTCTTACATGTTTGTAGATTTCTTATAAAGCGGACTGTATTCGAAAGTTAGTTTGTAACACATTGTTGTAGTGATTGCTGTGCTGTTTTTCGAGAATACATTTAACTCTACGAGATTCAAATTTAAATTTAATTAAAATTAATTTTAATTAAAAGTTAATCATAGGGAGTCGTATAACACAGAGTTTGTTGGGTGAAACTAATATTAATTATTAGGCCAGGGCGGGCTTAGGGTTCTGATAGCAGTAGCAGTTCTGCCCCCACAGAGAATAACCCGAGAATAACATGGGCAAGTTAGAGATTCCTAAGTAGGCCAGTCAGTATAGGTTTTTTGTGTGACTTATGCCATTATTTAAAAGACAGTCCGTAGATATCTTCTGATATGTTTTCGAATCTCATTGATTAATTTGTTATTTGTTATTATTTGTTATTATTGTTATTTGTTATTATTGTTATGTTTATTAATTTATTAACATTTTAGTGCAAAAAACGCGCTTTTTTTAGTTTTTTGCTTATAAAACCAAAACTACTAGAGCAATCTCAATTCCGTGAAAGGGGAAGTTGTAGAAAATTAAATTTCGAAGAAAATGATTCGATCGGTCGATTAGAAAATCCGGAAAAACCGGAAAATTCCGCATTTTCTTAAAAAATTCATAACTTTGTCACTTATGAAGATTAAGAGCTGAAATTTGGCACAGAAGTAGATAATTATATCAACTTTAAGTATGCAAAAGGCAGGCGGTGTCGGACCATTAGTTTTTGCGTAATTGCAATTTCAAATAAATTTTTATGCATTTTTTTGTCGGGAGTTTGCTTGCGTTAAAAGTAGTCTGATTTTAATTCTAATACCGGCTTTCAAAATTAGAAGTAAAATACGATAAAATGTATATTTCAAGTTTTTGTTAAAATGCAGCGAAATGGATGAAACGTGCACCTGAACATCGGTATAAACGGCCGAGGGCGCGTGAGCGCGCGAGTAGTGGGGGAAGGAGGGGAAGCGCTAAGTATAACTGCTCCCATACTTTAGTCTGTGCTTTAGTGTTCAAACTAGTAATAAATAGTGTCATGTCACCCGTATATTATTTCGGTGCAGACAAACCAACTCCAATGTCTTCGACATAAATAAAAAAATCGTCGACCTTTTTTTAATTTTAGAGCCTAACCTAGACTGAAATCAAATTTAGTTATAATAGAATAAAAATTGTTTTCTTAGTAATTCTTTCGTGCTAAAATGTGAAAACGTTTTCATTTCAAATAAGAGGTATAATTCAAAAAAAACTAAATGAAAAGTGAAGTACAGGTACACTCGACGCAAGATAAAGGTTTCCAATCTGAATCGTATTTTGTTTGAAATATGACGGCTTAACCGCCTGTCTATATGGGGCGTTCCCATTAAACTCGTGTGACAATATCTTACCGTCATATCTGACATTTTACGAGTTTTGTACAAAAATGCTTTCCTGGTGGATTGGCATTTTTAAAATGGGACTAATCGGCAAACTCTTATAGTAGACCCCGTATGCATTTTTTATTATCTTGTTTCTATTAAAAGAGTTGCATTTACATTACAATAGAAAAATCGATTCATCCTAGTTAATAAATCTTGCGAAACATCTACTATCTACTTACGAATAGTTAGATTGAATGGATTTAAGAAAATAAAAAATTTTATTTTTTTTTTAATTTTGAAAACCCTGCAACTCGGAAACGGAGGCCTTAAGAGCCTACGTGTGTGTAACAAAATTTACTTAATTTTTGCCACATAATGGGCCTCTGGTTTTTCTGTACGCCATTAATGAACACTGCATAGGTGCCCGCAATGAAATCGGTTGAATTTCTTAAAAGTTGTAAAGCATACAATTCTACATAAAAATGGCCTCTTGACTTTTTCTTGTACTATTAAAATTAACAGAATTAGGGAGGCTGGAAGTTAAGGGACGATTTCAGAAATTTAAAAAAAATCATAACAAACAGAAAAATGATTGAATTTTGTAATTTTTTTTTTTCAATCTGCTCTAAAATATGTAACTTTTCTTTTCAGAGAAATAGATATATTTTTTAATTTTTAATAAGAAAGTTATAACAAAAAATCAAATTTTTAATCGTTAATTTTAATGATATAACAAAACTAAAACAATTTCTTTTCTATACTATTCGATTGATTATTTAAAATAATGAAAAGTTGCCTTCCAATTTTTTTACGTTTGTTTTTTAGACAGATACAAATTATTTACCTTTTTATATTTTGAATTTTATTTAGCTCCTACGACACTGCCAGGACAAAGATAAAAAATCACGTTCGCTCTGTCGCACTCATGGTAGCGAAGTTGTGAACAACTCGTATGCTTATAACAAAGATAGATTATTTCGTTCGCTATTGTCAATGCGCGTGCCGTCAGTAAACGAGTGTTTCTTAAAAATATTGTATGCTCAATATTCATTGTTAATCCCAAAAAGGTAAATACATATTAATAACGACTAATATTTTTTCTTTTAGCCTAAAACGGATGCAAACTAACCCTCATGTTCACCCCCAAAAAAAATATTTCCGTGATAACTCGTTTTGTTTTTTCATTGTTTATAAGATGATGTCACAATAAGTAAATAAGTTCATAACATTATGGGCCCGGAAATGCTTCCTTTCTGATAGATGTAAAGTTAAAAATAGTCCTGTTTTTCTAAATATTTAGAAAAAGATTTAAGATATTACACTGAGCTTTGGTGTATAGTACACTGGCAATGTAATATCTTAAATAGTTTTCGAGATACTTAGAAAAAACCGGATTTTAAATTTCTTTCGACATCTATCTCAGAAAGGAAACATTTCCGGACCCATAATGTCATGAACTTATTTACTTATTTTCACTTCCAGAACACGTCCTTAAAATATTTCCCTTTGCTCCCGAAACTGTATAAGTTATAATAAAACTGTAGTTTACAATATTTTTTGATTTTGTTGCCTTCATGACCTACCTACCTACTTTCTGCAGAATATGACACAAATTCTTATTTCAAAATAGTTATTAATTTTTTCAGGGACAAGAAAAATAATGTGGCAAGACAAAATAATTTCAAAACCTGTATACTCTTCTCTTTTTATAATGCATATACTTCAAGCCTGCAATTTTTTGTTATGTGTCGTTACACACGTGCCTACACAAAAAAAAATAATATGACACGCCCCTAATTATTGATGCCTCTCAAAATTCCTATTAATAGTCCACCGACTCGCCCCTATAAAAGTAGTATGCCTTTTAGGTCAGAAACCTTTATCTTGCGTCGACATACAGGACTGGACATCAAAAACATTTTTGTAGGTTATAGTCAACTGTTCTAATGTTTGCTTTATAAAATCCAGTTTTTACTTTAATCCTAATCTATCTAGCAGCGAAGTGGTTTCAAAAATGAATATAACCTTGTAACTCGATATTTAACAATTAAATTTGTGAGCCTCGAGAACATCCCGTATTTTTTTCTCATTTTTCAAAGCCATCAATTTGATTCCTTGCATACGTCTTTTAAAAATAGATAATACATTTTTGGATGAAAATAATTTTCTCAAATTTTATTAAAACGGTTTATTTAGATCTAGATAGTCCATTTAATATGTATTACATTCCCTGTTAACACATTTGAAAGTAGGTGATGCTGCAGCGGAATACCTTCTCGAAGAATCATCCAGACAAATTCGTTTGTCTGTGCCCAATCCGCAGCGGTTAAAATACTCCTGGAAATATAATGGAGCATTTTTGTCCCCAAAATAGCTCTCAACAACTAACGCGCCCGACTTCTACACATCGTTGATGCTGCGACAAACCATACGTTACACATCGGTCTCCTCCTTACCTAAGCCGCGAGCTGTGTTAAAAAGTCAATCATTAAATTAGCATGAAAATGCCATCAAACAGTGCATCTCTTGTGTCTGTGCTGCTTGTTTATCTTTCCTTTGGATACTGTCATGCAAACGTCTTTAAGATAGGTGAGGAAGTCTGTTTTCAAAGATTAGCGGTGTGTAAAAGTAAAAATAGATCCGTAGGTATAATTATTTTGACTACTGAGCTTGTATCAGAGAAAAGTGAATTTTGTTAGGTCTTGCCAACTTGCCTTAGGCATTTTTAATTGCTATAATTAATTGTTATTCATGTTTTGCCAAATGTCGATTAAAAGCGTGCGAAGAACATTGAGTGCTCGTTAAAAGTAAATAAAATGTCTGTCAAATTTAGTTTGTTGAAATTATTTATTATTATATTCCCAGAAGATTGCAAAGTCTTAGGTATATACGCAGTTAAAATTAGGAAGGAGTCAGTAGTGTAAAGATGTTAGGAAAATATTCAGTCGTAATGCCATTAATTTTAACCGCGTATTCGGTAGGTCTAATAAAGACCAATAAAGAAAGAAAACAATTTTACTCAATATTTAAAAAAAAGCAAATTAGTCCTTTACTCCCGTTAATTCGACGCCCTACTTCGCAACAGAGAACGCGTCGGCGGACTATAGAGCATCCGAACATTGTAGTGAAACAGCTGATTTCCCCAGTCGTTTTGAATTTTGCAATTGGCTTCAAAATTAAAGTGCAATGGATCCCAACTCTATTAACAAAATGATATGGAAAGATGATTGAGTGTTTTTTAGTCGTACTGTAATTTTATATAGGTAGGTCCGTACTACTCTTTGAAAAGCAATGTATTACACAATAAGGCATACATACGTACTTCAAACTGAGTAATTAATTGAAAATAATACTAAAAATTCATATTCAATTATAAAACGTGAAAACGGTAACAATATTAACAACAAAAACAATCCTCACACATCTGTTTTTATTAACAAATAAATAATACCTAAATTTTAAAATGTATAAACATATCTTTTTCATTCATGTCTCTAGGTAAAAAGCTCTTTTTATTTTTCATCGTTCAATACGGATTAAAAATGCATTGAAAGCTAGATTGGTGACAAAATATTACGGTAGGTCAAGATTCACTCTCGATAAACCTTTGTGGGTCAGCTGTCAGTAGTGGTCCGGAGAGAGCTTTAAATGATTTAAAAGTATTTTTTAGCGTGAAACATGCATTTTAGAATTTTTTTAATACGTATTCTACTCATTTTTCTCTCTGTTCCCTAAATATTAATGACGTTATGACTGAATCATCCTATACATATATGTATATAGAGGAGTATAAACTTTCAAGGTGTAACAAATGTACGGTAGCAACCGCTGGGAGCTTGGAGTGATTCTGGTGTCGTTGTGTAACATCGACCTTTCTGCATCAGATAGAAGCGGTCCGGACATTCCACAATTACAGAGGTACCAATGGAGGGGAAGATGGTGAACCTCTGTATTTTATCTATTTTTATAAAACTGTGTCATGTTTAAGTACACGATAAATATGAAAACCAAGTTTTCCAAGACACATAATGCGAAAGGATTTTGTGTGCAAGTCAATATATGATTTGCAAACGCAAAAAAAGAGGAAATCTGTAACAATGACTTGGTAGCTGTAGAGTTTTCGGCGGTTTTCAGAGTTGTTTTGTTATTCTTGGGTAAATATATTTTATCGTTTTATGGTGGCATTCGTATATTTTTTATGAATTTTACCAATTTCTTCAAAAGTAATGAACATTTCATATGATAAACAACCTGGATATATTAATTTTTAACTATGTTTTACAAGGAGTAAAACAGGGAAATATTGTACTAGTCCCGAATGACTTTTTTTCGTTTCTTTTTTCTTCCGGTTTTCATATTTAGAACATGTTGATATTTACACGTTTTCGAGACAAAGTTGCTGCTCGTTGAAGAAATGGAACACAGCCAACCCATTTTTGCTATTAGTAATAATTCTGAATGAATTTTCTACAGACCCGTAAAAATATTTGGCACTGGCACGCAGATGTTTGGCAGTAAAAATAGAAAATTTAATATACGAGATTATTCTAACTATCAACAAATTAAGCTTGACGTCATAAAGTCAATTAGTGAAAGTATTTCAGGGCATGGGCTTCAAATGGCTGTTGTATTTGTAAAATGACCAGTCGAAGTGCCCAATATGATTTATCTTTTCTTTTCATATGAGTTTTATTACCGTACCAACGAAGTGCCAATCAAGTTGTAATTTTATTTTATTCTATCTTATTTCCCCACTTTTAAGAAAAAAGAAAATAAAATTTAGTTCTGAGTCTGGTACTGAAAATAATTGCTATACGAAAAATCTAACAAAATTATAAGCACTGTTGACTATAATTTATACAGGGTGTTTTTAAAATAGGGTTCTGCTGCGTTTATAACTCATTAAAATAAGCCAAAAAGTTCCTATTAACATGTGCCCTAAAACGCACCCTTAGGAAGTTATATGCCATTAAAAGGGCTCAAACAAAACTGTTTTTTTTTTTGTTATTGACAAAACGATCGCAAATAAATATAAAAAAAATTATGGGTCTTACATAACTTTTTACGTTATTTAACATAGACTACTCCGTTTTTCGACATCATCGACCATCATCTCCATCAAGCAATTTATGATTAAACACTGGATTGAATGGATAGATTTTGTTGTAGACTAAATTTCTTTGAACATGAGATCTGCTAATATCTATGTTTTCTGACCTTTTTCTTCGTAACATCTTTGGATTATCTTGTACAGAGTCCGTAACTGCAACAGTAGCAGCATCGTTATCACTGTATTCTTTTCTTATCTTTCTAATATTCGTTACATCACCAGTGGTATTGAATTTTATAATTCTTCGAACTGCTCTATGAGTTACAGTTACATTAGGTTACTCTTCATTAAAAATTTGTATTGCATGTCAATATGAAACATTACCGATTCCGTAACATTTTACAAGATAAATGCGTTGTTCCAGGGTTAGCATTATTAATAAAATTTAATCGGTGGATCGGTGGGCAGTTAATAAAAGTATATATGTTGTCTTTGACATTGATATGAAATATCCATGGTAATTGTGTGGTGTGTAAGATAGTTAAAAATTGGGGCGTCATTTTACTCAGTGTTTAAACATTTCTTGAGTTCTCAAACAACTTTGATAAATATAGTTTTTAACTATCAATAAAACAAAAATTAAATGCACTTTATTAGGGAAAATTTCACATTTTGACACACCTGTATGTTTTATTTATTATTGTCCATGGCTTATCACTACACAACTATTTCAATAGAACTTAGATATTTCTTTTGGTTCTTGAAATATCAGGGTGGAGAGGTTTAAACACAACATCCTGTAGAAACCGAATTAGATAGATCCATGGCACATTTCAGATCTCTCATTTAAAATGACTCGTTTAGGTTATAATAAAAAAAACTGTGAGTGACAGAAAAGTTGTTCAACGAAACTATTTAAATCATTAAATTTTGATGACGTATTAAGTATCGTATAGTGTAATAACTCTTTTTCAGGTGCAATTTTTGAAGAAGTGAAAAGTGGAGATGGAGCACTTATGCTAAAAGAGGCGTTTACCACGGCAATAAGTGATATCAACAACTCTGAGGATTATGACTTCAAGTTTCTGCCGATCATAGAAATCATAGGCGACAATCCTTATGAGGCCATGAACACTACTTGCACCCTCTTAGAAAAAGGAGTAATAGCAATTTTCGGTCCCTCCCTAGAAGACAGCTCAAACGTGGTTCAGTCCATTACCGACGCGAAAGAAATACCGCACATTGAGGTGAGGTGGGATGATCATCCTCAAAACGGCACAATAGTTAATATTCATCCTTATCCCGATGTTTTAACTAGAACTTACTTGGATATAATCGAGGCGTGGGGATGGAGGGATTTTGTAATTTTATATGAAAACAATGAAAGCTTACAAAGGGTTGGAGAACTTTTGAAGATGTTTAACCCGTCAAAACATAGGATTGTTGTAAGGCAACTTAAAGATGAGTTCAGGTAACTACGAAAGTAGCACANTATTATTGTCCATGGCTTATCACTACACAACTATTTCAATAGAACTTAGATATTTCTTTTGGTTCTTGAAATATCAGGGTGGAGAGGTTTAAACACAACATCCTGTAGAAACCGAATTAGATACATCCATGGCACATTTCAGATCTCTCATTTAAAATGACTCGTTTAGGTTATAATAAAAAAAACTGTGAGTGACAGAAAAGTTGTTCAACGAAACTATTTAAATCATTAAATTTTGATGACGTATTAAGTATCGTATAGTGTAATAACTCTTTTTCAGGTGCAATTTTTGAAGAAGTGAAAAGTGGAGATGGAGCACTTATGCTAAAAGAGGCGTTTACCACGGCAATAAGTGATATCAACAACTCTGAGGATTATGACTTCAAGTTTCTGCCGATCATAGAAATCATAGGCGACAATCCTTATGAGGCCATGAACACTACTTGCACCCTCTTAGAAAAAGGAGTAATAGCAATTTTCGGTCCCTCCCTAGAAGACAGCTCAAACGTGGTTCAGTCCATTACCGACGCGAAAGAAATACCTCACATTGAGGTGAGGTGGGATGATCATCCTCAAAACGGCACAATAGTTAATATTCATCCTTATCCCGATGTTTTAACTAGAACTTACTTGGATATAATCGAGGCGTGGGGATGGAGGGATTTTGTAATTTTATATGAAAACAATGAAAGCTTACAAAGGGTTGGAGAACTTTTGAAGATGTTTAACCCGTCAAAACATAGGATTGTTGTAAGGCAACTTAAAGATGAGTTCAGGTAACTACGAAAGTAGCACATATGTATATTTATTTTATTTTTTTAAAGGTGTTTGAATGTCAGTTGATTGTATAAATTTTAAAACTTCGTAAATACTTAGTCCCGCAATTAGTGTGCGATTTTTAACCTAAGCATTCTATGGTTAAAAATGAAAAAGTTTTTGAACTAGACAGAGAAATGCTTTTCAAAGAATCTACAGCCCATCAAAGGATGTGAGTCCTTTCTTTTCCAAAATGAATGAAATGCAACATAACCGTTTTCAAATTACAAATAAATACTGTAAATAATGCCTTTAATATTTTGTATCTCATTTTCTGGTCGAGTTTTTGATAATATTGTCCGTAACATATTACTAGTTCGGAAAACCGTCATAAAATTAAACCTATTTCCAATTTGTGAGCTAAACCTTGAATATGCGGTATTTTTTTCTGTAAGTATATATAACATTTTGTTGTTGTATATGAGAGTTATTTTTATTTTCAAGGTTTTAAAAAATTTCATCAACAACTTTTTCTGGAAATATTTTTCTAGTACTATATTTTCTACGCATTCTATAGGTATTATTTTTGAAAATTTGGTACACCTAAAAGCCTCTATCGTTTATGTTTACATGACGATTTGAAAGAAATTTAAATACCTATTAAGTACTTGCTGACTTTTTATAAACACTTGTTTCAATCTGTCATTATTGTATATAGTTAAAACGGTTAAAACGTCTAAGAAAGGTAATGTGTCTTTTACTTTATTTCGAAGGTATTAATTCCAACAATTTTAAAAACTCTTCCAATGAAGTCAATCCATGTTCTTCACTACCAAAAATCAAGCTATCCAAGATTCCTAACTGCTGATATTGCAGCTACCTTATGGGCTACAAACCCCAAATAGCATCCAATTATACCAGCAATAACTAGTAAACAGCTAGTAATAAATAATTATCCAAAATTAAAAAAAAAGTAAAATTGATATATATTATACAAAAACACATATATTGAAACTCTTAGATAACGTAATCATTCAAAGAAATATCTAATTTTTTATACTAAAATCATCATCAACATCGTTGACAAAGACCAATCACTTAAAAAAAAAACAGCTACTGCAAAGACATGTTTTTATTTCCACGTTTTACTTTAATTGTTTCATCAGATAGCCTCCCTTCTCATGGAAATATTTTATATACGAGGTTTGATCAAAAAGTAACGGAAACTCAAATTGCGCGTGTTATATCTTGTCTATCGAGTTGATTCTTTTTTGTGTATTAGCAGCACTGAGTAGCGAATGAGTAAAACTTACCTCGGTGCTTTTTGGCGATTTTTTGTGTGGTGAAATGTCGGATCAGAGAGTGTGTCTCATATTTTGTTTCAAATTGTTAAAGAAGGCCTTTAATGACGATATTATGACTCAGCCACGAGTTTGGCAATGGTACAAATGTCTTCAAGTAGGCCAAGGAGACATCGAAGATGAGGCAATATCTGATCACATGTGAAGATCCTTCTAACCGTTTACTTCGACTAGTATCGAATAGTTCATCACGAATTTTTATTGCCCGGTCATACGATTAACAAGGAGTACTACCTATAAGTTTTGCGTAATTTGCATAATGAGAAAATGATAAGAACACAACAAGATTTTGCACCACGACAACGCACCGGCGTATGCCGCTTTGTTTATCCAACAGTTCTTGGCGAAACACAACAGCGTTGTGATGCTGCAACCACCCTGTTATCCGGACATGATCCCGGTGACTTTTTCCTATTTCCCAAACTCAAAAGGATACACAAAGGACAACGTTTTTCAACAATAGATGAGAAGGGGATGGGACAAAAATTGAAGATTAAATAAATACTTTCTGAGAAGAGTATAAGTTCCCGTTACTTTTTGATCAAACCTCGTATAAACACCAAACTTTTAGGCAAAATGACATTTGACAAATGGCAATGTAAAAAGCGTTGAATATGACTAGATTGATATAAATTGCTTCATTTATCCAACAATATTTGCTATTTTTATTACATTTCTTTGAATTAGTACATTATTTAACAATTTCAATAGGTATATGAGTTTATGTGTTGTATACTTAGTAATACCATTTTTAATTTGGTTTGGATGATTAATTACTAACTGTTTATTATGTACTGTTGGTAAAATTCTGATATATTCCAAATGATTATTTAAATCATCAAAATCATAAGGCTAACTCACGTATCAGCGTATCTCCATCAAATGGTAGGTTTTTTGTTTAAATTATTAGTAGTTCTTTTTCTATAGCCATTTCGGAAATACCACAATTAAATGATTATAAAAATTGTTAGTATCTCTTGAAACCAATTTTCAGCTTATAAGTGGGCATAGTGCGGCGCGGAATTTAACAGGACCGTAGTCAGATTACGAATGAAAATATTAATATGTTTAAAAAAATATGTCGCAATAGTACTATTACCAAAGAGCAAGGCTAAGTAGAGGATAAAATACCTGTATTTTAAACGACACTTACCCGATAAACCTTAGTGTTCATACAAGGTTTCCGTGGCATATTGGAAGGAGTTAGAACAAAAATGACCGTGCAACGTCTACTATTGACAATGGACAGTATGATAAATTGTTGAGGCATGAAGTATATGTATTAATATGTTTGGGGTAACTCCTGATATATACCAGAAAAAACTTTACATATGTTTTCCAAAATGGTGTATCCTGGATTTTTGCATTTTCTCTTTTATCGTACTNCACTTAAAATCGTATAAAAATTTTAATTATTATTATAGCACCACCAAATTTGTATAAAATTGTTACTATGGATATTCTGGATATAAAACTAGTAATGATCAATGATATTACATATTATAAAAAATAATAATATTTTAATTTTATTCTCAAGTACAGAATAAATTTTCATAAAATGCATGACGTCGACACTTGTTAGTACTCAGTATATAGAGAAAAACGAATCTAAACCTAGAGTGACTTTCGAATGAAAGTTTAAAGTCTATAGATTAATCTGGTATACATATCGTTGGAAGACTAGTAAACTTAAAGAAGTTATCTCAATCCAACATAAACCATAACATGAGAATTTTCATCAATTGTCAAATTTTATAATAAATGTCACAAAAGTCAAAGCTAAAGGTGGCTTTGTAAGAATACCCGGAGATGACATTAAAACATAAAATAAAGAATATTTTATTAATTAATTTATAGAATTGTATATAAAAATAAAAGGACATTTGTTAAAAATGTGTTAGTTATAAGTAGTGTTGTTAAAAAGTGATTGAAAAGGACATCCAAAGACTGAAATATTCTGTGTATGGACCTTAAGCAAAGCTAGGGACAGAATATTCAGGAAGGATGAGAAAAACAAAAAAATTATTGATTAGTTACGGCTTGGGTTTTGCAAGATGTACAGCACAGAGTGCCTCTCTGTGCTGTACATCCGAAAATTAAAAATAAAGCAAGAAAAAACAGCCCAAGAAAGAAAATTAAACACTCACCAGTTAAATCCACAGTTTGCCAGAGTCCAGAGAAAGTTATTTTGTCATCCCATGAAAATTTTCCCCTGCCCCTGTCTAATAGGCAACAAATAATATAAGGAGACGTACTCAGTATTACATAGATCAAATAAAGTTAATAGTTGATTTTTTTATAATTATTCCTTATATTTTTGTAAGCTGAACCGAAAATAAATTTCGTTATTAAACTATTCTTTGTTGTGGAAAAAATATTACATATAAAAAGGTATTCCTAATTTGAGTTTATAAAGTTTTCAAGTATAAAGTCATATAACAAATTTTTGAATAAACAGTATTGAATTTAAAACTCTACTCATTCCAAAGTGTATTGCATTGTACTAGTTTGTGTGTAAATATAGAACCGACCTGAGATTTTCTGATAATGTCTGATATGTAACAAGTGTCTACCAACAGCTGGCCAGGGATAAGAAAGTACAAGGTAAGACATAAAAGATAGTAGAGGTTTGTATGGAACAATTTACAGCTTAATTAAAAATTAAAATTAAAATCAACACACACACACATTGAAATTATATTTCAATATTTAATATATTTGCGGTTAACTCCTGATATATACCAGAAAAAACTTTACATATGTTTTCCAAAATGGGGTATCCTGGATTTTTTTGCATTTTTTTCTTTTATCGTACTACTGACTGGGCGTATATTATTGGCTTCGTATATATTTTGTACATCATTCATTATATCAAATTGTTCATTTAGGAATAGTCCATATAATTACAATTTACGGAATTACGGAACTTGGGGGTTCCCCAGTTTGTTTAATGTAATATTGCTTGAAAGAAGGCGTCTGTAAGTTCACAGAAAAATACAGTCTTCAGCGCTGGACGAGGCATGGCTCTTCAAATGTTTTGTCACTTTAGATTTGTAACAAGAATTTATAATGCGTTCACACACAGTACAAAACAGGTCATTTCCTTTAATGCGTATGTCCCTGTAACCTTCGGGATCACTGTCAAACCACATTTGAAATAATTCCCGTCTATTTCATTTCTCTTTTGGCATTTCACTTCACTTTTCCCCCCAACTAATAGTTGTTAATGTATAATACGTTACTATTTATAAATAGTTATTTACACGGCGAATGCAATTTACAGCAGACGTAAAAAAGAAAGGTATCGACGCGNATTATTAGTAGTTCTTTTTCTATAGCCATTTCGGAAATACCACAATTAAATGATTATAAAAATTGTTAGTATCTCTTGAAACCAATTTTCAGCTTATAAGTGGGCATAGTGCGGCGCGGAATTTAACAGGACCGTAGTCAGATTACGAATGAAAATATTAATATGTTTAAAAAAATATGTCGCAATAGTACTATTACCAAAGAGCAAGGCTAAGTAGAGGATAAAATACCTGTATTTTAAACGACACTTACCCGATAAACCTTAGTGTTCATACAAGGTTTCCGTGGCATATTGGAAGGAGTTAGAACAAAAATGACCGTGCAACGTCTACTATTGACAATGGACAGTATGATAAATTGTTGAGGCATGAAGTATATGTATTAATATGTTTGGGGTAACTCCTGATATATACCAGAAAAAACTTTACATATGTTTTCCAAAATGGTGTATCCTGGATTTTTGCATTTTCTCTTTTATCGTACTACTGACTGGGCGTATATAATTGGCATCGTATATATTTTTTGTATATCACCCATTATATCATATTGTTCATTTAGGGTTAGGGATAGTCCATATGATTCCAATTTACGAAATTACGGAACTTGGGGGTTCCCCAGTTTGTTTAATGTAATATTGCTTGAAAGAAGGCTAGACGAGGTATGGCTCTTCAAATGTTTTGTCACTTTAGATTTGTAACAAGAATTTATAATGCGTTCACACATAGTACAAAACAGGTCATTTCCTTTAATGCGTATGTCCCTGTAACCTTCGGGACAACTGTCAAACCACATTTGAAATAATTCCCGTCTATTTCTTTTCTCTTTTGGCATTTCACTTTACTTTTCCCCCCAACTAATAGTTGTTAATTTATAATACGTTACTATTTATAAATAGTTATTTACACGGCGAATGCAATTTACAGCAGACGTAAAAAAGAAAGGTATCGCCGCGATACCAACTACTACAAGGTCTGTAAATAACCGAACAGTTCAAAACGCGAGTCAGCTGTGAAACCTACCGACCCCCGCACCGGCTCTGTTAGAGTCTGCACGTGCACTAAGCCTACTTATAACGATTTTTATAAAAGAGTTCACGCACCAACAAAATGATAAAAAATCATGTATCAATGATGATTTTTTTTTTTAGTGTAAAAACCCCATAGTTTAACAATTTTCAAATTTTATTAACGTCAATTTTCGCATTTTCATGTCCAAAATGTACTGTATTTCCAGTGTTCTATTCAATTGAGGCTGCTCCATCAGTATGTTTTAATTGGCCGTTTTAAAGATAAAGACGCCTTCCAAGCTTCTATGCATTCAAACCGCATAGAAGGGAAGTCTCTGATTCCGTATAAAATGATTTCGAACGCTGCATTAGCGTGATGCACGTCTAATAAGCCGCACATGTTTTATTTATGTTTTGCTTTTAATTCAGAACCGTTCTGAAGGAGCTGTGGAGATCTGGAGCAACACATTTCGTGTTAGATTGTACCACTGATATACTGCCAGAAGTTCTCAACAAAGCACAACAAGTAGGTCTGATGACCAACAAAGAGCACTACATTATAACTAATCTCGATTTTCACACACTTGAGTTAACGCAATATCGATACAGTGAAACCAACATTACCGGGGTAAGTAGGCATTTTAAACAGTGCATTGTACGTACCCACTAATTAGTAGAAGTGTAATTAATAATAAGACAGATCGTTCAACAATGCTTCACACGCCATATTAATGATCAGGGTGTCCCATTAAGAACAGGACACAGACCAGCTGTAGGTAGAGGATGTGAAAATAAAACAAATGAGCAAGACATACCCTAGTAAAATGTCAATCCTTACACGTTTTTTTTTTTTCTAAAATTTTTCTATCAATTTCTTGCGATTACGTAAGAACCGTTAGAGATATTTAAATAAATATTTAGGAAAATTCGTTTCAAAACACCGTAAATTACGAGATCTTAATTGTTTTCTAATAACTAGTCATCGTAAATTACAATATTGAATTCAAAATAGTAACTTTATGGTTATTTTTATTAAACATTAAGACGTAAAAAATCATTAAAAAAAAGATATACAGGACGTTGCATAATTCTACCGACACAAAGCAGGCACATGTGCCGTTGACGAGATATTGGCCTCTGAAGATGAGAGCTAAATTTTGAAAGAAATATTTCAACAATGCCTTAACATAGAGCAACCAAATTTGATACATGAATTTATGATTATTGTTATCTTTAATAGGTAAAAATATGAACTTGTTGGAAGCCCAATAAGGGCCAGACTAGGGGTAGGGCGTCCTTAAAATGATATCGATTTTTTTTATCTGTATGCCAATTATTAAATAGTTTTGCCAGTATTACAGGAAATTTAATTTTAAAAAATTTTATACCCTTACAAATTTTACGAAGAAATAACGGTTTTTGAGAAAATCGGGATTCTGTGAAACAGCGTCATTACTAATTGTATCGGAGAAAAAGTAAAGTATGCAGTTTTACGACTATTTAGTAGGCTATGATTTCATGTGTCATTTTTGACGTTTACAAATATTGTACATTACCACGTACTATTCCATCGTCTTGAAAAATGCCTGAAAAATTTTCATTTCGTGAAAAAGTTGCACGTTGTTAGTACTGGAGTTTTGTGAAGGTAATTGTCGACGAAGTGTACAGGAGTACCTACCGAAGAAGATTTCCTGATCATGCAGTAAACGCTCGAAACGAGATACGACTTTCAAGAAGTATTGAAAATGACCCTCAAATCAGCACTAGGCGATTATATAGACAATTTAATATACCACACCTACGGTCCATCGAATTATAAGACGAATCTGCTTCATCCTTATCAGATCCAAAATATTCAACAACTGTTACCCAAGATTTAGGCCAAAGACTAACTCTTTGTAATTTCATTTTGCGTCGGGGTCTTAGATTTCATGAGAAGATTCTTTTTACGAACGAAGCCTGTTTCACTCGAAGAGGAATCACAAATTTGCATAATTTCCATCAATATTCGAATGAAAATCCGCATGCAATAATTCCTTGCCATTTTCAAAATGAATTTAAAATAAACGTGTGGGCTGGTATTGTTGGACGTTATTTGGTTGGACAAGTTATTCTACCAAACCGGCTAAATAGCGAAAATTATTTATTTTTTTTACAAAATACTTTTTCTGGGCTACTCGAGGATTTACCTTTGAAATGAAAATATCAAATGTGGTTAGTACTAATGTATGAGACTTCTTGAACCAACAGTTCCCGTACAGATGGATAGGACGAGGAAACAATTGTCCAAAAAATTTGTCACCAAGATGGCCAGATATGAATAAATGTAATTTCTTTCTCTGGGAAACTTTAAAAGAATTTGTTTATTTTACACCGGTTGTATCTAAAGCAGATATATAGAATCGTATATTATATAATAAATGCAACGTCATAAAAAATAATCCACAATTATTGCACAGAGTGGACTTTAATTTTCAGCAGAGGGTAAATTTATGTATTAGAGAAAATGGTTGCTATTTTCAATAGTTATTGTTGTACTATTAAACGATATCGGTAGTTCATATGATTAAAGTTGAATTTGTTAACGTTTTGTTTATAAGATTCCTCTTTTTTAATGTTAAAAACAAAATAGAGAATCTAATTTAATGAAATTGTTTTTTCTTCGTCAAAAATCACATATGAAATCATAGCCTACTAAAACTACATACTTTATACTTTTTGTCCGATTCAATTAGTAATGACGCTGTTTCACAAAATCCCGATTTTTCTCAGGGACCGTTATTTTTTCGTCAAATTTGGAAGGATACAAAATTTTTTTAAATTAAATTTCCTGTAATCCTGGTAAAACTATTTAATAATTGGCATATTGATAAAAGAATTTTAAGGGCACCCTATCCCTAGTCCAGCCCTTATTGGTCTTCCAACAACAGAAAATGTTTCTCTATGAACCACACGATTAGGAAATCTCCTACGATATTCTTCCACACTTCTTCTACAGTTTTCTTCGCAGAAACCCATGACAAGTAGCATATCAACTTGTTCGCTAAATATAAATTTTCCAGCAATTTTCAACAACAATCAGAGACAATTGCTGAAATAAAATAATTTTATTACTAACTGACAAGTTTGAAAGATAAATTCATTGCCTAGTACTGACTTTTTGATTATTTTCTAATGTTAAAATTAATATTACTATTTTTCAATTCGGTCAATAAAAAAAAAGTTCTGAACAATTTTATGGGTGAATCGTCCCCAATGAAAACCGTGTAGTGATTCAATTAATTTTAAATAATAGTTGACCTTATCAAAAAATCTAGACCCATATTTCCTTGTCCTATTCCGACTATACATAAACTATTTGAAGGACAAGAAACTTTCTTGATTTTATTTAAACTTATTTAAAATCGAAATCATTCAACTAGATATCCGAATAAATCTAATTGGTAAATACAGATGCTTTTTGTTGACCCTGATGACAAAAGATTAATAAAAGCAGCAGCTAAGATTTATAATATGGAAGAAGGGATGGAGTTTGCAGCCGGATGGAAGCTTCGTTTGGAAGAAGCCCTACTGTACGACGCAGTCAAAATGTTCGCAATAGCTGTCAAAGAGGCACCACAGCTCAAAGAATACCCCGTCGATGTAAGCTGTCATAATAACCAGATGTTTTCAGAAGGAACGACTATAATAAATTACATGAAAAACGTAAGTGTTCTTAATACTTGTTTAGAGCAACCATTTGTACTTATCAATCGGTTCAACTGAAAACTAACAACGTTTTTATAGCTATTAGTGCCTAAAAGTTTACTTTTCTACGGAAATCTAGAGAAGTTTTACTTTTTTTGAAAGTGATATTACAGTTATTAGAAACAAGATGAATAGATACTTTCTAGAAGAGTTTGCAACATTATTTGATAAATATTTAGGTTAATATTTTTGAATATTCTCTAAAGAGAACTAATTTTATTTAGAAGGTACCTATAGGTATAATTCTTCAGGAGAAATTCACCCACTTCGTATTTTTCAGTTCGATTATACAGGCCTTACAGGAAGAATAAATAAATTCGACAATGAAGGTTTCCGCAAAAATTTTGCGTTGGATGTAATAGAACTTATGGAGGGAGGGATAACCAAAGTTGGTGTTTGGAATTATTCGAGCCATGTGCAACCTCTAACCATTACAAGAATAGTTAACGAATCTACGGAAGATTTCAGTGATATCCGCAATCGTACATTCATCGTTGCTATCACTTTGGTAAGATAAATCAAACGATTAATAGCGTAGTTCTAACAACTATCATTAAGATATTACTTACTTTTTTACATGTCGGTTACAAACGATTTTTTGAGAATTGTTCGAAGACAAAAAAAGCCACTCTTTTTCAAAAAGCACTTTTTTGGGTTTAAAAAAAGCACGTCAAGAAACTAAAAAGATATAATTTTTATATATTTTTTTATAAAACTACATCTTAAAAGGAACAAAATGAAAAAAGTTTATGATACCTTTGCCAACTTACAGGTTTTTGCCAAATTACGGGTATTTGAAAAATTTTTACCCAAAATGTCCTAATGCTTATAACTTCTTGAAGAGTTGAAATAAAAATTAGAAAAAATTCATGAAAGATACTCTAAATGGGTTCTAAATAATACCAATAAATCAGGAAAATATAGATGACCCGGTTACGACCTCAATGATTTGGCATGAAATTCCCCATATGTACCCATGTGGTTTTGTAAGTAAAAATCTTTATAAAATTTTATAAAGGTATTTTAAATACAAAATTCGGGGTATTGATCTTCTCTATTTTAAATACTAAATTAAAATACAGATTTGCAGTTTACTATAGGTGGAAGATGAGGATTCCGTTTTTGTCAGTATACAGTCTGTTTTATTATAAAGGTCCCGAACTCGGTTACCCATTTTTGGACACTCTGTTACAAATTCGCTTCTCACTACAGGGATCTCGGAAACGGTAAGATATACAAACTAGCTTAAATAGGGGCAAAGTTCTGTAATCGGGGGGCCAACATTATGCCTCTAAAAAATCAAGGCTAACGTGATTAGTTTTCGAAATATTTGAAAAAAACCGAAATTTTGGAAATGCGTTTTTGTTTAATTTCAGCCTTGTTTGAGGTGATATTGAAAAAAATAAGAACACTTTCTCATGGCCACTTTTTGCCCTCTATAGAATAACATAATCAATTTTTATATGTAACGTTTCGTCTCTCCAGGTCCATCATCAACTTCATTTTTTTAAATACGACCCTGGAAATTCTATTACATTTTTTGCAAGCCTTCATGACCCCCAATACCGTACTGCTTAAGCCCGAACCAGATTCAGGCGTTTTGTCTCGAAAAATTCATCTTCAGTGTATTCGTTCCAAATTTATCCACATTTTTTATTTAGATTTCTTTGTTTATTGAATTATCGTACACTGTAAGTGTCGTTAGACCCTGTGAAATCCATCTAGTTATTTAAACTATTACCACCATGCATTAAAATAAAACATTATTAGAATTTTATTCCCGTGTCAATAGTTATTTCTAGGCTTCTCGAGTGCTTAAAATTCAAACAAATTCCGACCTATTTTTTTCAGGATATGCATACAAATACATCTGATATGCTCTTTCACAGTTGCGGTTACAGATATAATAAATTCCGATAATATTATGCTGATCTTCATTCTCAACCTTTGCCAAAACGAAAATGTTTTTGAACATTTACTGAAATTTTTTAAAGAATAATATTCGGTTGACTCTTTGGTTGTTCATATGCATTTTTAAGAATTAATTTGTCATAATAAAATTTGAATTGTAATAATGTTTTAATTTTGACAACTACTTATTGAGTTATGTATGACAAAGTGATGGTAATAGTTAATAATAATAAATGTTTTATTGTAACGCATGCTGGTAATAGTTTAAATAACTAGATGGATTTCACAAGTTCTAACGACACTTACAGTGTATGATAATTCAATAAACAAAGAAATCTAAATAAAAATTTTAGAGAAATTTGGAACGAATACACTGAAGATGAATTTTTCGAGACAAAACGTCTGAATCTGGTTCGGGCTGAGGCAGTACAGTATTGGGGGTCATGAAGGCTTGCAAAAAATTTAATAAAATTTCTAAGGTCGTATTTAAAAAAATTAAGTTGATGATGATCCTGGAGAGACAAAACGTTACATATAAAAATTGATTATGTTATTCGATAGAGGGCAAAAAGTGGTCATGAGAAAGTGATCTTCTTTTTTCAATATCACCTCAAACAAGGCTGAAATGAAACAAAAAAATAATAACTTTGTAATTATATCAACAACGTTATCCTAATAGAATTTCCCCTAACAGAGGAAAGTTGAGTAAACTCGAAGCAAATCTAAGACAGTTTCCTTACAAGGTGAATTTGGTTCAACATGTTCATGAAAATGACTGAACAAATAATACAGTTTTGTCGCTGGTACTTAAATAATGCAAATAATAATTCCAACTTTCCAAATATGATTTTATGGACAGATGAAATTAATTTTTCTAACAATGTTTAACCACAATACATCACACCATTGGAGCCACGATAATCCTAGAATTAGGATAAAAGAAGGAAATTTTCAAAATCTATTTCATGTTATGTGTGTGGTACCTATGCTAGATTAAAAAATATTAGACATACTTCTTTGATGGTTCAGTATAACAATTTTTTGAGAGATTGGTTACCTACAAGAGTTTTTGGGAAGAATTAACAGTTAATGAGTATGTCCATATTATTTTCCAAGAAGACAGCGCACCTCCACACAATGCCCAAATAAACATAAATTATTGGTACAAGAGGACTCATACATTGGCCGCCATGATCCCCAGATATTAATGCATTGGGTTTCGTAAAAAACGAATTTTATCTAGCACCACCTAATAATATTATCAGTTGAAAAACAGAATAAATAATATTCCACATAACGTTAAATTAAATGCAGTTAGAAGTGTAATTAGAAGATGTACATTATATATCGAAAGAACTGGACAACAGTTTGAACAGTACTTTTAAATTTGACTATTCATTTCACATTTTTTGTTTGCATTCAATATTGTATTGTACAATTTTTTGTTTATTAATATTACTAAGTTATTGTTAGTTCTATACCTTAACTGTCTTAGATTTGTTTCAAGTTTACTAAATTTTCCTCTCTGTTAGGAAAAATTCTATTAGGATGACGTTGTTGTAAAACAACGCTATCCTCAGCTGTTTCTTCTACATTCATAATAAACGTGCAGTATATCAACTAATTCGTTAAAATCACTCATTTTGTTATAAGTTAAAAGGTGACAGCAATTACAAACAAACGGATATGTGACAGATAGCGGTATGCAAAATTGTCCAGAGCCTTCTATTTGATATGATTTAGAAACCTTGCACCGTAAACGTCAATGCTAAAAGTTTTCTGATTTTCTCTCAAAAATTTCTTTATTCAAAGGTACACAAATTTCATATGCTTGGAAAGAGAATAAAAAAATCTAGCAAAACATGCAGAAATATACAGGGTGTCCTATTAATATTGCGGAAAAATTCAGGGGCAGTTTCCTTGACCAAGAGAAAGAAGGTTCCTATAAATCTATGTCCGAAAATACTTCGTTTCGGATATACAGGGTGTTGAAATTTAGAGAAAATACAAGGTTTTTACTAATATCTGGAGAACCCTAATTCCGATTTTTTTGAAATTTGGTATGTTTGTTTACAAAAACGGTAGACGTTTCTGACGTACCTAATTTGATTTATTTTATCTATTGCAGCGGCATCCGGGGACTCACTCCTGTTGATATTAATAACTAAACATATGAGAGGTCACTGCTTTTTCTTAGGTGTCATATGTTTTCCTAATTATGCGATAAAAAATACAACTTTTTTGCCTCTTTACTTTTTTTGATTATCTTGCTTCGTTTTCGAGCAAAAAATTAATAGTTTGTTTAAGTGTGTGATTTTAATAAGTACTTGAACTGTGTAGTTGTCAATTCCTGCCAAAATGAATACTCAAATAGTGAAATGTGCGATATACATTTTCTTTATGGCCTTGCCAACGGTAATGCATTAGCCGCCAGTCGCCTCTATCAGTAGAAATACCCTAATCGTATAATTCCTCATCATACTATCTTCACCCGTCTTCATCAACGTCTTAGTGAAACTGTTTTCGAAAACTTACAGCAGGAAACGGGCGACCCCTCACAGCAATAACCTTACAATTGGTGGAAAATGTACTTCATGAAATTGAGGACACTCCAACAACACATACCAGACAATTTGCTAGAAACTTAAATGCAAGTCGTTCTACAATTTTCAGGATTTTAAAAAATAATCTTTTATATCACATGCAACCGGTTCAGGCACTTTTACCAACTGATTTTCCGTTATGATTAGATTTGTGTCGATGGATGAGGCGAATTTTTCTAGAAAAGCCACAATGAACTTCCAAAATAATCATGTATGGGCGGACGAGAACCCAAATGCAATATTAGCAGGCCGTCATCAACACCAGTTTTCACTTAATGTATGGGTCGGATTTGTGGGAGACCACTTAATAGGCCCATTTTGGCCCCGTTGGATTTTTTCCTTTGGGGTCACCTCAAACATTTGGTTTATACGACTCCAGTGCAAACCATAGACGATTTAAGAAACCGCATTGTCGCATCAGGTGAAACAATTAGACACACAGCCGGATTATTTTGAACGTGTTCGCCAATCAATGTGTCGTAGTATAGATGCCTGTATTAGAGTTGAAGGTGCACATTTTTAACAACTGTTGTAATGCCTGTGTATGTAAAGTATTTTTCATATCATTGCTGTTTGTTAAATATTTTTTCTTATGTTTCTGTTAATATTATTTAAAAAATATATTATTTAATGAGTTATTGTTTCTCAGCTTGTTACATTGTTTTTCCTTCAAATGTATTGTTAAAGTTGATTAGTAAATAACTAAAATTTCTATTTTTGTTTTCTACTTCCCTTAAGAATGTGTATATGAAAGGATATTAATATTTTGCTCGAAAACGAAGCAAGATATCAAAAAAAGTAAAGAGACAAAAAGTTGTATTTTTAATAGCATAATTAGAAAAAAATTTGACACCTAAGAAAAAGCAGTGACGGCTCATATGTTTACTTATTAATGTCAACAGGAGTGAGTCCCCGGACGCCACTGGAATAGATAAAATAAATCAAATTACGTCAGAACACGTCTACCGTTTTTGGAAACAAACAAACCAAATTTCAAAAAAATCGGAATTAGGGTTCTCCACGTTGGTAAAAACCTTGTATTTTCTCTCAATTTCAACACCCTGTATCTCCGAAACGAAGCATTCTCGAACATAGGTTTATAGGAACTTTCTTTCTTATTTTTGATCAAAGAAACTCCCCCTGAATTTTTTCGCAATATTAATTGAACACCCTGTATATCTATACAGGTTTTTTTTTATCAAACAGACTGTATATACTATACTAAAATATCAACTAGTTTGGCCAATATTACCTCGTTACAGTCGTCTGAACAAGGTACTATATAAATAATATTGCTCTCAAGTTGCAGTTGTTTTTTCTTAATTTTGATAGTTTACTTTTAATAGTATTGTCGTTACTAAAAGTTATATGAATTGAATTATTATGGAATGTTTTAGACATTTTGTTGAGACTGATAATTGACTTTATTGTTACAACATCCATTTTGCTATATGTTACAAAATTATATTACAATGAAAACAGTGATTGCTCTCCTTTTAAAGTGTTATTTTTCTCAGACACCACCGTATGGCATGGAGAAAGAATCCACTGAAAATTTGCAAGGGAACGATCGTTACGAGGGCTTTGCAGTGGATCTCATTCAGGCGCTGGCAGCAATGAGGGGTTTTAATTATACTATTGTGGTAAAGGATGGAAAGGTTGGAAAATTCAACAACGCCACTGGAAAGTATACGGGCCTTATAGGAGATTTACATGACAGGGTAATTTCTTTCATTACTCATTTTTTCAAATAACATATTTTCAAAACTTATAAGTAATGGAAATGCCATTTAAAATCCTTCAAATTTATCCCTGTTAATAACCTTATAATATTCAGTTTCCATACTAATAGCTGGATGTTTAAGAAATAGTTTGGAATTAGTTAAACTATACAGGGTGTCTCACAGGGAACTGCGTCGGCCGATATCTAGGAAAGTACTGCTCCGAAAATTTTGAAAATCTGGCAACAGTGCAATGCCCCTTGTTCGAACACATCTAAAATATCTAGAACTCTCCAGCACTTATACCGGAAGTCGACACCAAATTCGTTATTTTAAATGGGACACCCTATATATTCTTTTATATTCTGCGTTAAATTTGAGGGCACTTTATTAAATATTTCATATACCTAGGAGTTATAGATTTTGAGATATTAATTTTTAAAGATAAAATTTGACAGATGCCAGGGTTCGTGAAGATGCTAGTAGCTCTTTTCAGGAGCGTGATGTCAAGTGGATTTTTGATGCCTGTAAAGGGCATAGGTAGCACTACATTTATAGTATACCAACAAATTAAAACCTTTAATACTAGGTGTCTCATTTTTGCTGTAACATTTTGATAATTTCAAACAGCTATAACTTTGTTAATTTAAATGGAACATCTTGCAATTTTTTACTTGTATGCAGATTGATATATTAGATATTTGCAATTTTCTATTTTCTGGACTGTATTTCTCGTATCGGACCTGTTTGTCAAACTGGACATGACCAGACACATTCCAAAAACAACTGAAATAACATTATATTTGTCAAGTTAGTTGTCAAATTATTGTTGTGCCTGAATAGTTTTTTTTAATAAAAATGCCTGGGGTTCGATTAAATTATACGAATGAGGATATCTTAATTTGTTTGTTATTTATGGAAAATGTGACAAAGTAATTTCAAGAATATGTAGAGAATCTGCTGCTTTTTTCCATAAATAACAAACAAATTGAAATAATCCTCATAAGTATAATTGAAACGATCCTCAGACAATTTTATTTAAATTTTCAGCAAAAACTATTACTGACATAACAATAATTTGACAACTAACTTGACAATGTCCAGGAACATTGCCATGTTGCCATATTTTTCGGAGCAGTACTTTCCTAGATATCGATCGACGCAGTTCCCGGGGGGACACCCTGTATAGTGCAGCATAATTCACACAAGGCGTGACGCCTCATAAAAGTAGTGGTGATTTGGGATTTAAACAATACGGTGCAAAAATTTAGGTCTTTAAAATGATTCAAATTCATTGCGCAATTAGTAGATTTGTTTCAAAAGGATCGAGAAATAATGACTGAAGTCCACTGAAAGGTGGACTTGCCGGAAGATCTAGGCAAGCTAGAATATTACAGATCGAAGATGTTTTAGATACCGTTGAAGCAAATCTGACAACTAGTGCCAGATATATTGAACAAGTCGTCACGTACTAAGGTGACAAGTATTTTATTAGAAAATCAACTTAATAATTTCTGAAACAGTTATGTGACTCCAAAATCCTCAAACTAATCTATTTGGGCTGATATTAACTTATTGACCCTTTTGTACTGCTAGTCAGGCTAGGACCATCTACATTTCCTGCATAATAACCACTACAATAATATCTATGTACTGGAGTGCTCCATCTCAATTTAAAAGAGAAGGATAGGATTGGATTATCTATATAATTTATTTTCTAAGAGGTGGATATACAGCAATAGACCATTATCATGGTCTCCACGATCGCCAGATTGTATTTCATGTGATTTTTAAGAGGTAAACGCCCTATTTTAACATCATGCACTAAATGAAGGTGTGAACAATGGTGGTTAATTTCGAACCTCCGAACATATTCTTTAGGCTTCTTTATTTACATTAATATGTATTCTTTTACTTTTATTTCTAAAAAATATTCTTACTTGTATCCTATGTTGCGCTCAAAGGAAAAGTCCAACTTACAAAACACCTTTATAATTCACGAAAGTTATATTTTTTTCAGAAAATTGATTTGGTCGTAACAGATCTCACCATTACTTATGAAAGGGAAGAAGCTGTTGATTTTACGTCCCCATTTATGATGTTAGGTAAGAAAATTCCTTTAAAAATTGAATTCTATTGTTTATTCATACGCAGAATATCTAATTCAAGATATAGATATTGTGAAGTTTCGAAAGATTCACAGATGCGTCAGTGTTAAAAATGTTATCATCGAACAAAAAAGCCTTTCTGTACGCATTTTTAGAAATTAATTATAAAAACCTACTTTATAAAACATGTCTCATTTTAATCGATACACATGAATATTTCATCAGTGAAACCTTCGATCCAAAAATGACCTAAATGAAAGTTGTTTAGTTCATTACGCGAAAGCGGTTTCTACCCTTGAATTTGACCTTAACCATTACCTTGAAGGTCAATTGAATTTCAACTTCATAATTTTTACCCTGGGAATCGATTCGGCAGAAAATTTTACATCCAGATGTGATCTTAACTTTGACCTTGCGTAAAGTACCACTTTCCCTCAATGAACTGAGCAACTTTCATTTAGATCAATTTTGGATCGGAGGCTTCACTATTGGCCAACTACCTGTTGTCTACAAATAAATAGCTTGTATAAGATTACGTCCTTTTCATTAAAGCAAAATTTCAGGCATAAGCATTCTGTATCAGAAACCGACAAAAGCACCGCCTGGCTTCTTCTCTTTCGCTGATCCTTTTGCTTTCGAAGTGTGGAGATTGCTGGTGCTGGCCTGTGTCGGAGTTTCTTTTGTCCTATTCGTGGTTGGGAGGATATCGTCTTCAGAATGGGAAAATCCCTATCCATGTATTGAGGAACCAGAGTATTTAGTTAACCAACTCGACTTGAGGAACTGCGCCTGGTTTGTGACTGGTTCCATTATGCAGCAAGGATCAGAAATTGAGTTAAAGTTAGTACAGTATTATATTTTCCCAACTATTCATAAACAGAAACATGGTTTGATTAACGCAACCTAATTGTTGCAGATCTGTAGCTACTAGAATGGTTGCAGGAATGTGGTGGTTCTTCACTTTGTTGATGGTTTCGAGCTATACCGCGAATTTGGCTGCTTTTTTAACCACGGAAAGCCCAGATCCTCATTTTAACAACCTTAGAGAACTCGTAAATAACGCAGAAGAAAAGGGCATCAAATACGGAGCTAAATTAGATGGAGCCACAGCAAACTTTATCAGGGTAAATTCGGTCTAGTGTAATAATACTAACATTCTAAACATTCTAAACATTCAGTGGCGGAAGTTCAAAATTTGGACTCCCTTGCAAAATTCGATTCGGGCTACTTCCACAACCTACGGTTGAATTGGGTTGACTTTTTTTATTAAAAATAAAAATCATTGTAGCAAAAATTTGCTGTAGTAGGTGCAACCCCAAAAAATGCGAAATTTCTTATATCTGATTTTTCCCAATTTTGTTTGAATTTCGAATCCCTAACATTGTAGTTAAAAATCACATTTCTAGAAAAAATCATTGTCGCAGATTAATGACTTTGTTGGCATTTTTTTTATTTACATTTCTAATAAAACTTCATTTCTGAAAAAAGAGTTCTAAAGTTATTTTAAGTGATGTTAAGTGCTTGATATACAGGTTGCCCAATATTGTGACAAAGTTCAATATCTCCCTTATTATAAAAATTTGAAAAAAAAATGTATGGGAGTGATGTACTTAAAAAAGTTTACATTTTAAAAATATTTTGAATTATACAGGGCGATCCATTAGGGCGGAGCATCTTTAAGGTGGTTTTTCTTAAATGGAACACTCTGTACATTTTTACAAATTTATATTCTACAGAAAATTCTCTTTCCAGCGATGTCTATGTTTTTTGTATTCGATGCGGCGGTCAAGTTATTTGAAAAATGAAATAATTTTTTCTGGAACAGGGTCTGTAAATCTATCCACTGTGCAGGTACTACCAGTAATTAAGAAAAAATATTTTGTAGGCATGCGGACCAAAGATGTGGACAAACAAAAAAATAGCAAAATTTTTATAATTTTGTACAGGGTGTTCTAGACATAAGGTCCAGTTTAGCGAATTTCGAAGGACATTTTCTCGATTTTTTAAATGAAACACCCGGTATATTATTTTATTTTTGGATTAATATGTTAATTACCTACAAATTTTGTAAATAATACCATATGCCTAAAATCACTATTTTCCGAAATATTGGCGCTTTTCTAGCAAAACCCCTTTAATTTTGCAAATTTTACATTTTATTTTCAAATTAAAAAAATTTCAATTTTAATTATTTGAATCAGGCTTCTAATTAGCAACATATGCAAAAAGCAGCTATATTTACTAGTCATTTATACAATATGAAATTACTCCATCTTTTTCTAATTAAAAAAATTTAGCCACCTTGNTTATAAAAATTTGAAAAAAAAATGTATGGGAGTGATGTACTTAAAAAAGTTCACATTTTAAAAATATTTTGAATTATACAGGGCGATCCATTAGGGCGGAGCATCTTTAAGGTGGTTTTTCTTAAATGGAACACTCTGTACATTTTTACAAATTCATATTCTACAGAAAATTCTCTTTCCAGCGATGTCTATGTTTTTTGTATTCGATGCGGCGGTCAAGTTATTTGAAAAATGAAATATTTTTTTCTGGAACAGGGTTCTGTAAATCTATCCACTGTGCAGGTACTACCAGTAATTAAAAAAAAATATTTTGTTGCATGCGGATCAAAGATGTGGACAAACAACAAAATAACTAAATTTTTATAATTTTGTACAGTGTTCTAGACATAAGCTCCAGTTTAGCGAATTTCGAAGGACATTTTCTCGATTTTTTAAATGAAACACTCGGTATATTATTTTTATTTTTAATATGTTAATTACCTACAAATTTTGTAAATAATATCCTATGTCTAAAATCACTATTTTCGGAAATATTGGCAAATTTCTAGCCAATAAAACCCCTTTAATTTTGCAAATTTTACATTTTATTACTCCAGGAGAGTTCTAGATATTTTAGATGTGTTCGCTCCAGAGACATTGCCATGTTGCCAAATTTTCAAATTTTTCGGAGCAGTTCCTTTGGCTTTGCCTTGAACTTATTTTTATTCTTCTGGACTTCTATTAGTTCTCTCTAGAAGTTTTGCTGAAATTTTCTGTCTCTCTCCTTTTCTTTCACTCTCACCTGAAATTTTAGTAGGGTGAAAGGGAAGCGAGAAGGAACACTCTGGCCAAGACTCAGAGAAACTATAGGAAGCAGAACAAGATTCCTACAATTTATAATTATCTGAATATGGAAGTGAGTTCCTTCTGAGGAAAGATCAATATCAATACTACGTTTACTATAACTAACAATCGTTCAAAGGTAATCCGCTATATCATGTTTTCCAGGACAAAGCTGATTCGGACAAAGATTACGCTAAAGCCTGGGAATTTATAAAAAAACATGACGATGTACTGGTTAACGAAACTAAAGATGGCGTTGACAGGGCTGCAACAGAAAAATACGCATTCTTCATGGAAAGCAGTTCTATTGAGTATGAGATTCAAAGAAGATGTAATTTAAATCAAGTAAATGGTCTACTGGATGAAAAAGGATATGGCATTGCTATGAGGAAAAGTATGCATATTTCTAAGCAGTTCTATATTCGCAGCAACTTGTTTTGGCATTTTCCCAAATATATTAATTGGTTATAAGTTCTACCATTTGAATATAAAAAAAAATCAGTTACTATCTATTTGTGCAAGCCTCACGCTACTATATTTCCGACATACCTATGTCTAAATATTCGTTTACAATAAAGGACCTCTCTTTCTTTGATTTTATAGTTGACAGAGTGATCAGCAATTTATTTCCCATATCTTCTCCAATTTCTCCAATTTTTATTTGTAGTAATTCATAACATCGGCACGCCCCAGATATAAATATTTTCTTTAAATTACCTTTGTACCGAAATACGTATCATTAGGGGCCTCCATTAGAAATTTTTTAACTTGTAATTTTCTAAAACATGTGATTTTTTAGAACGATATCCATCCGATTAGCGTTTCAAGAATTCTTTTAACTTTAGATACTTTTTAATATCGATGTTATTATTGTAGACATTAAAGCAGCTCCGAGCATCGCATATATTGACCATAATGAAGATTTCATACTTTTGCTTAATTCAGAAAAATAATATCTACTAATAGTGATTTTCTGAAAAAGACAAGATGTCATTCTCAGCCCGGTAATCAATCAATTTTTTATAATGTTTGCTGATATCTCTTCTTCGATTTTTCTGATAATAAATTACACTCTACTTATTTGCTTTGCTGATTCAATAATTTCTGGCGGAATTATATAGCAACCACAAACGACCTATTGATTATTATTATTCATGAAAGAAATACCATATAATTTTCATGAAATGAAACAAATAGCTTTGTTTGCTATAATGATAAAATTAAAATTGATCGTAGAAAAAATTATGTGTTTAACTTAATACCAGCCACGGCACTTTATTTCAGATGAAAGCTACAGAAACAGTTTAAGCACTGGTATTTTAATATTACAAAATTCTGGAAAATTAGAAGAAATTAAAAGGACGTGGTGGGAGCAAAGGAAAGGTGGAGGACAATGTTTGGTAAGCGTTTGCAAGAAAATATTAAATTTTAACATTTAGGGAACTTGATATTAAAAACGTTTACTCAGTTCGAAGTACAATCTTGAAATAATAAATGTTTTTTTTCAAATTTAGAAAGACGTTTTTATGCAGCTTACTTACAACACTGAAATATTAACAATTAATTTTTTTAAAGTATGTTTTTAAAATAGGTGTATTATAGCTATATCTTGATTACTGTCAAAATTATTTTTTTTTATGTATCTATACGGATAATCCTGATACAATAATTTACTAATGCAATCTACATCTAAATATAAAAAAGATTCTATATGAACACAGATGGAGAAATATAATCTAAGGAGTCTGCAACCTCTCAAATGTGAACCTGTGAAAGCTGATTTTTTTCCAGATAACTCCGAAGCCGTTTGAGATAAAACAATGAAATTTGGAATTAAATATTGTTATTAGGTTTTAATCATCATTTTAATTCTAGATTAAGAGATTGTGGAAATATTTTTGTATGCGAATTTTTCAACAATTTCATCTAAAAACTAGAAAATTTTAGTCAATTCATAAGAATGCATAGTTTAATTAATCAAACATTTCTTGACCTTAAAGCATAGAAGTGGAAAGAAAGAAAATCATGGGAACATCATTTGAAAAACCTCGAAAAAGTGCTACATAGAAAGATAAGGCTAAGAAAAACCAGCAAATCAAATATACTAGAAAACAGTATTTAATTTTCCTAATTAGTGGAGTAAAGGTAGCTTAAAAATATGCATTATTTCGGAATAATTAGCAGAGCCATTGTTTAAACAATAAAAAATGGTTTTTCAAAGATTATTTTAAATAAATCAAAAAATATCAAACCAATTTTAATCAAATTGATATTATAGGGGTTTTCGAGGTCACTGAATAAGAATATAATGTTAAAAAATATAAATTCAAAATGGCTGATCCAATATGGGCGACTTTTTTTAAACAATTTATTTAAAAATGACGATTTTCAAAGCAATTTTAATCAAATTGATATTGTAGAGGTTTTTGAAGTCGCTGAACAAGAATATTATATCAGAGAATAAAAATTCAAAATGGCTGATCCAATATGGCCGACTTTTTTAAAAAATTTATTTAAAAATAATAAATTTCAAAGCAATTTTACTCATATTGATATTTTTCGGATTTTTCAGATCATTGAACAAATATAAAATGAAAGCAACTCGTTAAATTTTAAAGAAATTTGGGTATGATGTTTAGGGTTCTGCAAAAAGTCAATTAATCAACAAATTTATTAAATATGAAAAAAATAACAATATTCAATGTTCATTCTCTTGAATCTCGTTCTTCTTCGAAAAATGCGTGGCAATTGAGACAATCAGTTCCGGAACAATTAGAGCATGCTATGGTGCAAAGTAGATCCGCCTTCCCGCAACCGCAATTATTAGCACAGCCACTTTTGCATCCGCAAAAAATCATTTTGAGAAGTTCACTTGGTGATAAATCTTGAGTCATAAAAGTTAAAGTCATACCCGAATCCTCTCGTTTCCAAGCCAGTCTTCTGTTTGCAATTTTTTGTCAAGCCAAGCCTGCACTTGGAGCAGATGTTCTCTCTATCTCTTTCTAATATTCAAAAAGATAATTCTCGAATCACGAGAATGAATTTACCAGACAAATTTCTACAACACAATTTCATCATGAAAGGAGATAGGTAAAACTGAATCTCGCGACAATTTATTGAAAAACAGAATTTTTTCGTATATTATACAATATCATAGTAACAAAAAAATTTTTTTCATAGATCGTTTTTAGCCCAAAAAATGCATGTTTTTGAGCCATTTTTAGTTTTATCAAAAAATGATCATAAGCAAAAATGAAGGTAAATAAATAAAGAGATTGCTTTTTTTATTTTTGTAGATGGTGTAGAACCCGAGTTATGACTCCCAGAAGTTGAAGTCAATTTCGAAGATAGCTACAATCGAAACGTTCAACGTCCTGTAGCGAAAAAATTAAAGGTTTTTCGAGGAACACTTATATAACACCTATTAAAGTTCTTGAAAAGACCTTTAAATTGAATGAAGGTAGAAGTCATTAGCATGAAAACTAATGAAGTTACAATCAAAATAAAATGATTGTCTTGATTTTTGAGAAAAAAAAATCGATATTAAAATTAATGACGACGTAAAAAAAAATAAACGTATTCCTTCTGCAATTTACTTTATTTATGTATTAACAGTAGATTCTGGGAATTTGAACGATTTTAGAAGCCTAAATTAAAAAAAAATTCATTTACTTTTGAATATATTTTTTCAATTATTTAAAAAATCACCTTTTTTCAAAATATTTCAAAAAGTAATAAAGTTATTAAAAAAAATTATAGAATAAGAAATTGTAGGTTTTTTCTTACTGGACAATTTGCTTTTTTAAAAAGTTTTGTAGGACAAAATTTGACTGAGTTATGACGGTTAGAAAATCAAAACTAAGCTCAAAGACTGCCTTTCCTGAGCCCTTTTAGCTTACAAATCTTTTTTTTTCTATAAGGGGTAGGGTTTTTTATGTGTTTTTTGGGTGGCTGAAAAGTTGCAAAATATCATAGATCATTTGAAAACCAATAAAAAGTTTATAATTCAACATATTCATACCATTAAAACATCTAAAGCTTTCGATAATATTTTATTTTATTATAAGGGATGGTTTTTAAGAGTTGTAACTTTGTAATGAGTCGTAAGCTTTCTGATGAATAACAAAAGAAATGCAATATATTGTTAATGCACCAAAAGAATATTTTAAACTGTTAAAAACTTTTTTTTATTTTTTTGGCTATGGAAGGTTAGTTTTTAAGGATTTTTAAGGGTTGAAAAGTAATTAAATTACATAAATTATATTAAAAATCTCGAAAGGAACTTTATCCAACATATTTGAACATGAATTGAATCTTTAAAATACATAAATCTGCTATTTTCGCATTTTTTTCGTACAAGGGTAGTTTTCACTCCCAAACAGAAAAAAGCACATATCTAGACAATATAACTTTTGAAGTGGTGGGGTCAGATGAGCTTGTATGCAAATTTTCAGGAAAATCCATGCTATCCGAAAAAATTAGGAGCTTTTACTTTATTTTCGCCTTCAATGACTGGACTATTTATCTCAAACGATTTCGAAGATATCTGAAGCGAGTTAAATTTGAAATAATTTGGAAGCAAAAAATTGAGAGCGCAAGTTATTAAGTCCTACCTAAATGCACGCTGCTGTATGTATTATTTCAAACTTTAACATCCCGTATTTTGAAAGTGATTTTTTTTGTATTGCATTTTAATTATCATATAGAATGTGCACGTAAATTGTTGCAGGATGTTTTCATGACATAGACTTTCTAATCGAATCTTTAACATTTTTTTTTTTTTTTTCAGGACAAAAGCAGTGATGCGGAAGCCACCTCACTGAATCTAGTAAACGTTGGTGGTGTCTTCGGCGTAACAATAGCCGGCACCATTTTAGCTCTCTTTATGGCCATGCTGGAAACCGTCCTGCATGCGGGCAAAAAATCAGTCAAAACCAAAACCCCATTCGGAACCGTTCTAATGCAAGAAATCAAGTTTTACTTTAGGTTTAGCGAAGTGGTGAAACCGGTATACCAAGGTAACTCCTTAGGGGGCAGCAACCAAAGCCACAAGTTTCAGTCTGAAGAGAAAGAATTGCCCTACAACCTGGTGAATAAACAGATCAGCGTCGAGACACTGGAGAGTTACACAAACAGCCACAAAAGCAAAGGAACTAAAAAGGAACTGAAACCGTATAGTAAACAAATGAGTATCAATACTTGTTAAATTTAATGGCTTTTAGATACCAAAATGTACAGTAGAGCAAACAAAATGAATACTGTAATATAGTTTTTGTTAATTCGTGTTACTTTTCTTCGATTGCATTTGATGTGGTTTTCCATTTAGGATACTTTTACTTTTTTTGCAAATTATTAGAAGATAATTCAAATAAATTCCTCTAACCTAGTAGACCCAACTTCCCTCAGCAAAAAAACCTGCATTGTTAACCGGCACGCCAGGCCGACAGGGCACGCATGAGGGCGTCGCAACATACGAATCGAATAAATTGATTGATGAGAAGCTTCAGATCAGTGGCAGACATGTACACGTTATTACATAATGACGCGGACAGCTAGTAATTAATAATTGTCTAAAATAAAAATTATAAATGATACTTCTGAATACTTTAGTAGAAAAGTACATACTTGACAATGAAAAAATTTCTTCTACCCTTGTTGATTTGACCTTACCTTCGACAAACCACCAACACCAACATGTCTTATATGTACATAGCCTGGATAGAATGATCTTAACTATTTCCGCATTTTGAGGATTGTTTTGTCAAGAGACCTTCTTGCAAACAGAATTAATAAACAATAGTTAATGAAACAAAATTATATTTATACAGGGTGATCCATTAACGGTACGGAGCGGCTTTATACAGAGTGTTAGTAAATAAGTGCGACAAATTTCAGGGGGTGATTCTGTTTGAGAAAATAATGGCAGTTTGCTTATTAAACGTATGTCCGCAAATGATTCGTTTTCCGAGACATTTGACACCCCGTATCTAAAGATACGTGGTGTCAAATTTTTCTTAAAAACTGACGATTTAATTTATTGCTCTGAAACCGGTCGAATGTGCAAATGAAATTTGGTGGGTATTAAGAGGTACCTAGTTATTGCGCATTTTTTGACACGCAATTAAGAATTTTTTACACTCTGTATATTATTGTTCTGTTTTATTCACATATCAGTCCACTTCAACTTTTATTAAGCATATTCTACATTTAAAATTGTTAGGTTTTAAGATATAGCAACATTTCTGGAAAAACTTAATTTTTATTATTTTATAGAATAACACAAATAAATGTTAACTAATAAAATTACCTCAAAATGCAATGATAAATTATGAACTGACAAGTTGACACAATGTGACAATTTTTTCCAAAGCCATTTGGTGCGACCGAAAATAATAAAAAATAGGTTTTCCAGAAATGTTGCTATATCTTAAAAACTAACAACTTTAGGTGTAGAACATATTTAATAAAAGTTGAAGTGGACTAATATGCGAATAAAATAGAACAATAAAATACAGGGTGTTCCATTTGAAAAACTATAGAAAATCAAGTTTGAACTTGCTTAAAATTATCGTATTATAAAAAATGTCCTGTATAAAATATCGCTATTAGCTAATATAGGAGTCTTTGCCTAACGTCATGTCAAACTATGTCAAATATTTTTGCTCCAAGTGTTAGTAGTTGAAAGTTAATACAACTTCTTCGAGGTCATGTTTTTCCAAAATTCAAAGAATTTTCTACATAACTTGGCAACCTCGCACTAAAATATTATACTAAACTAAATTTTCTCAGAAATCCATATTTTAGAAAATATACAGGGTGTTCCATTTAAGAAATGTAATATTTGGCGTGTCCCGTTTTTATTCATCGCCCTGTGTGTTTCAAATTAATTTTGTCCTTTAGGTCTTTTGATATAAACTTTTTTCTGTATTATGAATACCAAGGGAGTTATTTCACTTTCTCACACTAATGGCGCACCCTGTATACCTATAAGGGTAAATTTGAGGTAGAAATTCTGCAATATATGCAACGTGACAATATGTTTTTATTAAATTACATATCGGAATTATTTATACAAAACTAAAAAAAAGAAAAATTGGTAGTACTGTTTTCCATATTAGAAATAAAGGTAATATGAAAACTATGCCGTATTCTTTTTTTATGCTCAAAATTGATTACAAATGGCAAACAGAACTAAATCTAAGTGGAAATTCCAATACAAAACAAGCACTGGATTAATTTTCTTTACTAATTTCTAGAACAGTTTTCTGCAACAGAGACATTTTGCGTCATTTTCATGATTCTAATAATTTCATGAAAAACTATTCTCATTGTCATTGTTGACACTAAGTGGTAAAAACAATATATATATATATATATTTCATTTAGTATAAATAACCACCATTCTTTTAATATGCACTCGTGAAAACACATCAAAATGATCTTTGTTAATGACATTGTTAGAAATAACTACTCTGTGGACTAATACCCCAGCAAGAATTGAATCCATAATGTCTAATAAACAATTAAGATAATTCGTCAGTAGAACCTCCTGAATGCCTGTCAAATTAGTAGAAAGTGACCTGCTAATCGGCAGGAACTATGAAAACAAAAACAGTAATATTTTGTATATTATATCTCATCCATACATCAAGCAGTTATCAAAACTAAAATTCCATACATTTTATGGACATAAATATACATCGATGTATGTATTTACTACCTTGAAGACAGCGTACGTATCGTATGCAATCTGTCTCGTCCATTTATAGCAATGGTGCCTATTTTTACTACACACATCGTGTGAGTTTCAACATGTCCAGTGAACGCAGTGCATAGCACAATTTGATGCGTATGTTTTTTACTGGACTCACCAGACGCTCATGTGTTAACAAAATTATGATATTGATTGGATTTTCATCAAATTCAATGCACTAAAAATTATTCTTATATTTAAATTTCTTAAGGGACATTTAATTTTTGATTCGTCTGAGACTCTTGTATTTATAAGTCTACTGTCTAGACAATTAATTATGTTCCACGTCATTTAATAGATTTAAAAAATCGAAATTAATTTTAGCGAGCGACAATATTCCCGTTGCCAAAAAATAGATGTCAGAACTAGAGAAGTTCACTGAAAATAGATACTAATTACAAGCGGTAGAATACTGCTATTATTATTCTATACAACACCAAGTGATTATCGTTATGTAGCCAGATAGTTTGCCCTAACCGCCATTGTGGAAAAAATGTTTTTGAATTGGACACTAATTTCTGTGTTAATTGGATACGTGTTTAGTGAAAGCGTTAACTTCGGTAAGTAAAAAAAATAAATAATAATTTACGTAAAGTTTTGTTACTCGAAGCTGTTTTAATTATTCAAAATTATCTATCGAGAATTTCGCAATTTCTGTGCCAGGAAGTTTTTATTTAAGAAGAAACTTTCAAAGTTTAATCTGAAATATTTTTTTTATAATAAATTAATAGTTAGCTACAATTAATTATTTAAAAATATAGGTATTAAACATTAAAAACTGAAGAATTATAAAAATTTTAAAAATATAAAAAAAAATTGATGCGACTCCTGTAAATTTGGAGCATAAAAAATTGCTTAAATAAATACGCTGGAATTTATCAGTTTAAAATAAAGTGATAGATATAAAGGGTGATTCAGAACTTATTACAAAAAAAAATTCTGAATGTACAAGGGACCCATACAAATACAATTTTGTAAAGGAAAAATCAAAAAGGGCAGTTCGAAAATGATTTAAAAATACACTTCTGCACGACACTGGAAACTGGTCCTCTGTAAAAACTGACCTCGCACAATGCGACCAGCACGAACTAACACAAATGATGTCTTGCTTCACCATAACACAAATGCTTCACCACAATACAATTGTTGTCTTCTTGCTTCACCATAAATTAAAACGATATCCATCAACTCTGAGTTGCTATACACGCTAACCATTTTTGACACTAACTACTAAAAAACTGTTGTAAACACCACAGATAACAGATAAACAGTATCGCAACGACGGATTTCAGTATTCGGAGTCGCTAAGGCCACGTGGCTCTCCACGCGTATTGCGAATGACGTAGAGACTACAGTTGTCCAGCTATGTAGTGGTTGAAGGTACTATAACTTCAATAATTTTTTCTCGAAAACTAAGGATTTTACAAAAATTTTTTTTACGATATTGACTACATTTCTCATGCCGCATCTATTCCCAAATTTTTTTGGATAAGTTGTGAATCACCCTGTATAATAATTTGCCATCACTTGAAGCTAATTTTGTTTTTTTCTAACAAATATCATTTCTAATCAGGACTTATTTCAGAAAATATTTATTTCGTGCAAAATATTGGTGGCAAATACTTGGTTTTTTAAAATATATTAATTTTGTAAATATAATCAAACTAATCCCGAATTTCAATACCTTGATACTAGTTTTAGAATACAATACAGAATCTGAATTTAAAATATACTACTCTCATATAGTTTAAAAGTAATATATACTACAAGCCCATCGGAAATTTTCAAGGGGTCATTTGACCCAGCATGAATTACTTATAAATCAATACTACCACATATAACAATAAATTTAGAAACTATGCCGTCAATTCTTGTTGGTACAATTGAGTACACAGATAAGCTAAATTTGTCCGCCAAGGGGGGTGGTTTTCGGCAAAACATTTTTGTACGGCATGTTTAAAGTATATAGGTTATACAAAAAAAATGATCCTCGACCTAATGCCATACAAAAATAGGAATACCGCAAGCCAGGAACATTTTTGTTTTTCCGAAAATTTTGACCCGGGTTTTGGTGATTTACTACAGTACGGCATTTATACTGCAAGTTTCGGATTGAAGCGTAGATAACTTTTTTAGTGACGCCGTACGTATCTGCTGATACAGGGATAGACTAAGACCTATACTCCAAACTTAAATTTTAACAGTATTGTTAGTAACATTTTTTTTAACCAAAAGCTGGCCTTTTCGATCAAAACGAATCTCACGAAAAAGCCTTTCGCTATGCCGTTGAAAGAGTCAACAGGAATGTCCAAGAAGGTGAGTTCACCCTGGTGCCCCTGGTGACCAGTAGTGTATCAGAAGACCAGCCTTTTCCAACCCAGCAACATGCCTGCTTCCTCTTGAGCCAAGGAGTGGTTAGCATTTTTGGTCCCAGACATCCTGTCGATATAGAGGCAGTACAGTCTGTGTGCGACGCCAAAGAAATACCCCATATCATCACCAGGTGGAACTATTTTCCTTTGAGAGATAGCACGGAAATCAATTTTTATCCCCACCCTTCTATGCTCTCCACCGCGTACTTTGATATTATTATGGCTTTGGAATGGAAAACTTTCACTGTGTTATATGAAGATGATGAAGGGCTGCTGAGGGTACTGGATTTGATCAAGATGGCCAAGGACGAAGGTTTATTGGTTACTGTTATACAGTTGGATAGGTATCATTCAGGAAATTATAGGTAAATTTTCAATTTTGAATTAATTATTTTAAAAGGGCGTAGTGATATTTCCTTTAGTCATATTCGTTTATTGGCATTCCTAAGCTTCATTTATTGAATATTTATGCGATATTTACAACGCTTGTCGGTTTAGAATTCTCGACGATTCGGAGGACTTACCACTCTCTTCTTCAGAAGAAACTTTAAACCTAGAGATTAGGCCCTCTGTCCGGTATTTATATGTGCTGTTTGCATTGCTCCATGGGGTTCCAGTGTATGATTTGAAGTCGCTGACTTATGCCGTTTCACCCCTTGATTACGAGCCTTCCAAATTCCAGGTAGTTCCTAGACCTCGATAAACTACCTACAATTTAGAAACATGTAAAAAACGTGGTCCGGAATAACACCAGTAATTTTGAACTGTAAACCACAACTCTGTAACCCAGCACACGTAGCAAATATAAATAACAACCGGAGGACTTAATCCCCAGTTTCAAAGTTTCTGTTGAAGCAATGTGAATAAATCTACACCAAATTTATGGCAACAAACGAGGAACGTTAATTTAATCATTTACTGTTTATATACAAACCAAACTAACAATGTTTGTTTTCCTTAGAACAGTTTTGAAGGATGTGAAACTAAGTGGGCAGAAATATTTTGTCGTAGACTGTGAAATAGAGCATCTGAAAGAAGTTTTGCTACAATTTCAGCAAGTTGGACTTATGAATCAGGACTATCATTACTTCATTACAAATCTAGATGCACATACGGAAGATCTAATGCCTTTTCTATATGCAGAAAGCAATATTACTGGGGTAAATATTTATACTAATACTTTCAATAGTTAAAATAATTTAAAATTAATTATTAATTCTTAAATAGAGTTATAACCGTTCCTTTTTATGTTGTTTTGTAAATGTTTTTCCACTAAAAGTTTTCCTTTGTGTTTTACAATAGTTCTTATTTTTGTCTGGTCCAGAGCACTTTTATACGTTTCATTAGATTCCAGGCAAATTTTATCTTTTTGGATAGTTCCACTTCCATTACTTTTTAAATTTTAATTCTGGCCATCTATACCAACCATCGTTCTTAAAACTACTGTTAATGGTGTTTTCTTTTCTTCCTCAGACCAGTTGTTTACCATGGCAGGTGATTAAAGCCGTTTTAGGTAGGTGATTTATGATACATTTCCATCAAATGCTGACGGCTTAGTTATTGACCACTGAAGCAATTTCAGTTTTAACAAATACTTTTCTAATGTATGCTACCTTCCTTCCTAAATTTATGTATTCACCCTATAACTATTACTACATTTTCTTCCACGATTTGTATTATATCTCGCATCTCACTTCTAAATTGAATAATTTATTTTTCAACGGTTTCTTCAAAATCTTTATAGTTTATCTTTAATTAGTTCTTCTAACTTGTTATTCTCTTTTAAACTGTTCTTCATTTCGTTTTTCAAATCTTCTCTTACATCTTTCGTCCTTTTTTTTATTAACTGTCATTTGTTTTCTACTACACCATGCGCCAAGTATTACAAGATTTGTAAAACTGCTTCAAGAAGCATATAAGATTGATCAGTAACAACTCCAAATGGTATCATCGAACTTGTTTTTGAGTAATGTCGGTGCAATTTTAATAAGAGAATCATTCTTAAGAAATAATTTTCGATGTTCTAGACCTAATTCATATATAGGGTGTTTATTAAGCACTTGTACAAACTTTAACGGGTGAATCTTGACTAATTTTAAGATAAAAAGTTCATATGATCATGGGTCAACAACGGTTTGTTTCTTGACATCTAAGTTTGTCACATCGCAATACAGTCAATAAAAGACACATTTTTTCACTTGTATTTTAAAAACTCTTATTCAACTTAAAAAACTCCAACGCAAGTTTAACTTTAAACCCCTTTATTTACAAAACGGTTGCTTTGAGCGACAAATATTAAGAGTATCTTATGTACGTAAAACTGAAAGAAGAATAGGTATGTTTAGTAAAAATGACATACTGTGCCACACAAAAGTTATGGTTATTTAAATTCAGGTCACTCTATATGGCGCCCTCTAACTTTAAATATTTGAGTTTCACATCATCAATACTACCAGTTTCCAGAATTTCGTCAAATTGCCATGTTATTGAACAAAAATATAATCAAAAACTAAACAAAAGTTTTTTTGGCCGCTTTGTATCTCAAGAACCAAGCTCTGCGAATATGAATTTTTATATTAAAATTAGTCAAAGATTCACCCTTTAAAGTTTGTACAAGTACATACTTAATAAACACCCTTTATACCTGTACTAATGTAAGTTGCAGAAACAAAGTATTAAAAATATGTACTTCTTTTTTTTTTAATCTAACAATCGTATTGCTGTTTTCTAAACTAAAAATGTAGTATGACGCTCGGTAGATTAGATATCTAAATAGAGGAACAGCGCTTAACATTTTGGCAGCTATTCATAATAAATAACAAACATTATCGTACCTGGATTTTAAGATACAAAAGAGTTAAGCAACAGTAGCAAATAAGTTGTGATTTATAGTTAATTGAAACTGCACAATATTATTGGTTCGATACAAATAATAAAAAAAAAAATCCGTAGCTAGTTTTTTATTAAAATATTTACAAAACGTTATTAATTAATAGAATTATTTATAATGCAGTTTTAATTTCTTGATCAACTGCCAATTTATGAGATCAAAAATAATCATTACCTTTTCTTTTTCTGCCTTCTTAGAAGCGTAAACGTATCATGAAAAATGCACCTTACATTTATTTAAAACGCATAATGCTCCTGGATATGAATTAATATAATATTAATAATTAAAATATGGGGTGGTCCAGATTTAAATAGACAAACTTCGGGAAACTACTAAACAACAAAAATTAACATCACTTTGCTCTATGAACATAGGCGCAGAAAGCCACCGTTTATGAGATACAGGGCGTTGAAATTAACAAAAAAAAACAATTTTTTAAATATCTGGAAAACGGCTTTATCAAATTTATCCAAATTTGGTACACATTTTTTTTCAAATATTTCCCCTAGTTTTGTATGCACATAGTCCAAATTCAAAGACCAGTGGCGGAGAAACAAGGATGTCGTTTATTTATTTAAAGTAAAACTTCTACGCCACTGAATTAATTGGTAATATGATGATTCTTTTATTTTTATCGAAAAGTGAATGGTTTACGAGTTATGAGACATATTATTCAAGTAAACAAAGCGTTGAAATAGGGAAAATAAAACAAATTTGGGTGGTCCGGATTTTAATAGACAAACTTCGGGAAAGTTTTAAATAACAAAAATTAACACCAATTTGCTCTATGAACATAGACGCAGGAAACTACCGTTTATGAGATGCATGGCGTTGAAATTAACAAAAATAAACTAATTTTTTTAAATATCTCGAAAACCGCATCATAATATGTCTCATAACTCTTAAACTATTCACTTTTCGACAAAAATAAAATAGTGTTTTTATTCATCCGGAATATTTCAGACCTTTATAAAATGTATTCATATTACCAATTAATTCAGTGGCGTAGAAGTTTTACTCTAGATAAGGAAACAACGTCCTTGTTTCTCCGCCACTGGTTTTTGGATTTGGACTGTGTGCACACAGAACTAGGAGAAATATTCGAAAAAAAATGTGTACCAAATTTGGATAAATTTGATGAATCGGTTTTCCAGATATTTAAAAAAATTGTTTTATTTTTGATAATTTCAACGCCCTGTATCTCATAAACGGTGGCTTTCTGCCCCTATGTTCATAGAGCAAAGTGATGTTAGTTTTTGTTGTTTAGTACTTTCCCGAAGTTTGTCTATTAAAAACTGGACCACCATGTATATAATTAATTACTTTTGGAGGGATTAATAAAATTAATTAACCAAACAATTTTTAAAATATACAGAACGATCTAGAGATACTATAGTCTTGTTCTTTTCTTTAGATTAGAATCATAAACCCCGACAAGGAACTGATACAGAAAATCAGCCAAGAACTATTCGCTGACGACGAAAATGCCATTCCTGAAATTGTGGCGTGGAATTTGAAGACTGAAACAGCTTTGATTATAGATGCCGTTCATATGTTTTCAACTGTCTTGAGTGACGTAAAGAAACAAAGTTCTATGCCAATAATCAACAATAATAATATTCTACAATGCAATGATACTAGCAGTTGGGAGCAAGGTTACACTATTGTTAACTTATTGAAAACTGTAAGTAACTGAACTCAAACTAAGTTATACAGGGTATTTCAGAAAGACCTCCCGTAAATAAGATTTTTTTGTTTTATGAACTCTATGTCTATCTCCCCTCTTGTTTTTGATATACAGAGCGACAAAATAAAAATTTTTAAATAAAATTTTTACGAAAATTTCCAAACGATGCAAAATACTCTTATGAACTTTGGTATTCCGGTTTTTTAAAGGATGCCAAATATGCTGGTCTAATTATTTTTTGTATATTTCATAGAGGATGCTAGTTATGCTACACTCCTATTACATTTTAAGTTTCAATTTTTTTAAGGTTAGGTTTTTTACTATTTACCCTCCAATTTCTAATATACAATTTTATTTTCTAAAAATTATATACTTTTGTTAGAACTTCCTAATGTGGACGGTTTTCGAGAAAAAAAACTTTTAATTGAATACATTAGAAATTGGAGCCCGAATGATAAAAAACCTAACCTTAAAAAAACTAGAACTTAAAATGTAATAGGAATGTAGCATAACTAGTGCCCTATATGAAATATACAAAAAATAATTAGACCAGCGTATTTGGCATCTTAAAAACCCCGGAATACCAAATTTCATAAGAAGATTTCGCACCGTTTAGAAGTTTTCGTAAAAATTTTATTAAAAAAATTTAATTTTGTGGCTTTGTATCTCGAAAACAAGAGAAGATAGACATATAGTTAGTAAAACAAAAAATTCTTATTTTTTGTAGTACTATCACCCCTGTATTTATAGGAGGTCTTTCTGAAACACCCTGTATAGTGTTTACTATACAAGTTCTTAATGAAATACCCTGCAAACATTAATTGTGAAAACGTCATAAATTAACCAAAAAGTTTCTATCAATATAACGTGGTGAAAAAAATATCATTTTTATTCAGATGCTTGACGTGGACTGAAGAAAGTGCAGAACTTTTTGTTCCTTCATTAGTAAAGTCATTAGCCCGCGTTAAATAAATCCTCATCGACCATTTTAAGAAATATTTAAATAAGTGTGATATACAGGATGTTTACTGAAGATTGGGCCATACTTTAAGGCTTAGCTTTCTTGTATGAAAGAAAGGTGAATTTAAACAACTTACTTTAGTACCATCTTGCTTCCTTAAGAAGTTATACGCCCGAGAAAGTAATTTTTTATTTCACTTTTTTACGATGTTTATTTATTATTTGGGTAATTTTACTAAAATTTTGGAAATGTTGTTTTTTTGTCTTATAAACATCTGCTTGTTCTTTGCGATAAATATAAAAGGCGTTCTAAGCGTGCTTGCCACTACATTGTTTAACTTAACTTTAAGCGTTATTTCTGTAAAACGGTGCATTTTTAAAGAAAAATACTTTTCCAAAATTTTAATAAAATGACCCAAATAATAAATAAATTACCGTAAAAAAGTGAAATAAAAACCTACCTTCTCGGGGCTATAACTTCTTAAAGGAACAATATAGTACTGGGGTAAGTTGATTTAACTTTATTTTCATCCAAGGAAGCTGACACTAAAGTATGGTCTATTCTTTAGTAAACACCCTGTAATTTTTTAATTCCAAAATGTTACAAGTAATTTTTTTATGTTTTGGATGCATAATTCACCTTTAAAGTTTGGCAAAGTATATCATTGAATAGTTCTTTGCGTATTGCACATATTTATTTGACACAGAGTTCCCATGAAGGTCTGACGGGTTTGATCAAATTCAACACAGAAGGGTTCCGAAGCGATTTCCAGTTAGACTTATTCGAATTAAGGGAAGGAGGGATAACAGACATCGGCACGTGGAATACGTCTAATGGTCTTTCAGTTACCAAAAAATCAGTAGAGCAACCAGTACCTGATGGTGATAGTTTGAAGAATAAAACTTTTATAGTTATTACAACATTAGTAAGTATATTTGAAAACACTTTTTGGAAAAAATAAACTTCTAACGTTTGATTCTTATTTATAATGTAAAAAAATGATCGTGTTTTCCTTTACTATTATTTTCGAAAATTGGTACAACAAATTTAAACTGAAGGTTGATAAAATTCCAGACAGATCCTTATGGGATGCTCAAGGAAACCTACGAAACTCTAACAGGAAATGACAGATTTGAGGGTTTTGGTATCGACCTAATTAAAAAATTATCTGAAATGGAGGGCTTTAATTACACCTTCATATTGAGAGAAGACAAACAGAACGGAGCAAAAGATCCGAAACCACCACACCGATGGTCTGGAATGATTGGAGACCTTCTCGAATATGTAAGTCGAGATTCTTTGTTAGAAATACAATTTAAACATTCTAATCTTTCGGTGGGCTAGAAATTTAAGACGTTTGTTTTGGAATCGTTGCTGTTGAGGCCATGAGTTCGAGTTGTACTACATAGATGAGAGTAAATAAACACCCTCTATGCAGCTATTGTACAATGGAAGAATTTTGGGTTGGGTCAGTGCGGGAGGTTATTACCAATCGCTTAACAACAAATTTTAGGTTTCATCTACTTAAACTTCTTTTTATTGGCATCAGTGCTTCCTTATTATAGGGCTATAATAATATAGTTTATTCTATGTTTATTACAGAATCTGAATTCAAATTTCTTAGATTGGAATATTGAGTACGTATTCTAGTCAGTAACTGACATATACTTGACACCTCTGTTAAGTGTCATAAATAGTAATTTTCTCATGGCACAATTTGATACATTTATTTTCAGCAAGAATTTTTGAACACGTAATGAATTATTAAAATTAAAATGCTATTAAAATCTAACAAGAACCTTTTTTATGCAAAATATGATAAATTTTCATAATTTCGGTTCAGGAAGTAAAAAAAAATGCGGACAAAAAAAAATTGTAAAATTTGCCCCATGGTCCCCTATATTCTTACGCCCCTGTGGCAAATTTTGATTTGTATATTATGCCGATTATTAAGCATATAAATACACTGCTCAAAATAATTAGAGGAACACTTATTTAAATCTCAATAACTTTTTTATTTGTAATACTATATAAATCTAATAATGCATATCTTAAAGACTAACATTTTGTTCGAATAAATTTGCGAAAATAAAACAAATTTACATAATCACTCTTGAGACAAAAGCGCCAATTCAAAAAAACTACAAGAAATAAAGTGAAGAATCTGTGATCCTGTCTGTATAACATAAAGATCCTGGTGAGATTTGGTTCACTAATATCGTGTATGTCTTCCATTAGCACGAATTACTGCTTGACACCTCCGAGGTAAGCTTCGGATGAGCCTACGAATGTCTTCTTGTGGTATATCCTCCCATTCTTCGATTAGGGCATTTGTTAACTGTTGGAGAGTCTGAGGTGGGTCTGGGCGCCTCCAAACACGCCTATCTAACAAATCCCAAAGATTTTCGATGGGGTTTAGATCAGGACTTAGCGGAGGCCAATCCATGGATTGAATCCCGTGATGTTGAATGTGATGGTGATAATCGCAGTATGTGGCCTTGCGTTATCTTGCATAAACAGAAAATTTGGACCTATACCATAAGCGGCTGGTATAACATGATCTTCTAGAATGAGATGATCAATGTACCTTCAGCGGTTAGAGTCTCTGGATCTATGACATGATCGGTTCTTTCATCAAGACTAGTTCCGCCCCAAACCATCACTGACCCATCACCAATTCTTTCGACTTCTTGTATGGTAGCAGAAGAATGGCGTTCATGTGGACGTCGGTATACACGTACTCGACCATCACAACCACTTATACGAAATTGTTACTCATCTGTGAAGAGTACTGGTCCTTACCTTATGTGATACGGAGTTAAAATAGGTTTTTGCACGGGTCTTCTTGGTCTCAAGTTTGCTTCTCTCAGTCTATTCCTAACTGTCTCATCGGAAATTTCCAACCCATGAGTAGTTCTGAGCCTACTTTGAAGGTCTTTTGCTGTGGATGTACGAGAACGCAAGGAGGATATGACTAAAAACCTATCCTGAATTCGGTTTGTTTTCCTCTTAGGACCTTGTCCAATGCGTCTTTTATATCTTCCGGTTTCTAATTAACGATTCCACTCGCGATGGATGACAGAAGGGCTTACATTAAAATCTCTTGCAACCTGTCGAATACTGGTGCCATACTCTATACTAGCAACAACACGAACGACTTCAACTTCACATAGATGCCTCATTTTTTACAATTTATGCTGAACTGTCAACGTTGTTTACTATTCCAAGGCGCAGCATATTTCTAAATTGAAATTTTGATTGTATGTTTCACTTTATTTTTTGTAGTTTTTTTGAATTGGTACTATTGTCTCAAGAATGATTATGTAAATTTGTTTTATTCGAACAAAATGTTAGTCTTTAAGATATGCATTATTAGATTTATATAGTGTTACAAATAAAAAAGTTAATGAGATTTAAATAAGTGTTCCTCTAGTTATTTTGAGCAGTGTAGTAATACAACCCCAAAATTTCGTGATATAATATTAAACCGTTTTGAAGTTATGCAATAAAAATTGTTTCCTGAGTTACCCCTTCAAGGGGCTGAATCTCCCTTAGGGTCCGCCATTGACAAAAACTCTACTAAGGTTTTCATCATATTTCGACATGTTTGACATACTCTCCAATTTTGAGTACTTATTTCGTTAACACCTTGTATACAGTACGCGCCTAAAGTATGGAATAAATTCAGTAAAAAACAAATTTTTTTTGGGAAAAATCCTCGAACAGGTCGATTTTTAATTTAAAAAATACATATTTTAGCATAAAAGGCGATTTTCAACCGTCATTTGTTTTCGAGTAATGACGTCATCGACATTCTTTTTAAATAGCAACCCCCTATTTTTTTATTGATTCTGAAAGATCGTGTCATTGTCGATTCCACAGTATTAAAATGTTGCCATTTTACATAGGAAAGTTTTCGAGTAAATGACGATTGAATGTTAGAAAACCCAAATCAATTAAAATAAAGCAAAAACGTTATCAAATTTAGTTTTTCGAAATTTCTGAAGTTTTTTACGGATCACATAGGTGTAAATCTTTACAAAGTGTCACTGTCATACTGACTTTCTAAGTATTGTAAGCGATATAAAAATTATTGTTGAATTTAAAGTATTAAGGCACATTTAACTGTCACACAGAGTTGAAATTTTAATTCTTATCGGATGCGGGGATAAGACTAGAACGCAGCAGGAAGTTTGCGATTTATTTAATGAAAAACATCCAGATAGCCGTATCAGCAAATCAACAGTCAATAAGATGGAATCTAAATTTAGAGAAACTGGCAATGTTGTAGATATTCCAAAACCTGGACGTCCAAGCGTTAGTGAAGATCATAAACAGAACATTTTGATAAGTATGGTAAATAACCCTCATAATACTTCACGATTGGTTGCATTAAACCATGAAATTAGTCAGGCCACAGTGCTACATATCCTGAGGAAGGAAAAATATCATCCTTACAAAATTCAACTTGTGCAGGAACTCAATGAAGACGATCATGACCGCCGCTTACACTTTTGTAAAATTATGATGGATTTGTCAAGTAAATAGAGATTTACACCGGCAAATACTTTTTTCAGACGAAGTCACGTTTTGTCTCAATGGTACAGTGAACCGTCAAACTTGCAGGTATTGGAGTCGGGAAAATCCTCATTGGATAGCAGACACATACCCAACACCCACAGAAATTAAATATATGAGCTGGAATAGTTGACAACAGAATAGTAGGGCCTTTCTTCTTTGAAGGAACCCTTACAAGAGAAAGATATTTAGAGTTTTTCAAAATGACCTTGTTCCATCGCTTGCAGTAATGTTTCCTAACAATAATGATCCTGATATTCCTGATGACACCATATGGTTTCAGCAAGACGGTGCACCTCCGCACTATGAGGGCCCTGTTCGAAATTTTCTGGACAATTGTTTTCCTAGGAGGTGTATCGGCAGACGAGGACCTATAGAATGGCCCGCGAGATCCCCAGATCTTACACCCCTGGAATATTTCTTATGGGGCTACTTAAAGTCCAAAGTGTACGTTAATAGACCACATAATTTAGAAGAACTCCAAAATTGTATTATATATGAAATACACAGAGTTACCCCAGAAATAATTCATAATGTGCAAGAAGAATTTCTACACAGACTTGCGTATTGTCAAGAAGTCGGTGGGTGACAATTCGAACACTTAATTTAGATAGAAAACTTAATGAATTGTATTTGCTTGACATAGGAATTGTTATTTTTTTAATGAAAAAAGTTTACGTTTTCTAATATTCAATCGTCATTTACTCGAAAACTTTCCTATGTAAGATGGCAACATTTTAATACCGTCGGATCGACAATGAAACGATCTTTCAGAATCAAGAAAAAAATAAGGGGTAGCTATTTAAAAAAAATGTCGATGACGTCATTACTCGAAAACAAATGACGGCTGAAAATCGCCTTTTATGCTAAAATATGTATTTTTTAATTTAAAAATCGACCTGTTCGAGGATTTTTCCCAAAAAAAAATTGTTTCGTTTTTACTGAATTTATTCCATACTTTAGGCGCGTACTGTATTTTCTCCCTTAATAAATTGTTAGATCGCTTGTGTATCTTTTTAAATTTTTTTATTGTCAGAATCCCTCGTAGAAAGAACTACAAAAATCTATCAAAAACATTTTTTTCTTAATGAAATATTTAAAGATCTGTTTAATGAATTTAATAGCGGAAAAGCAGAAATATGTACTGTTTCCATAACAATATTGACTTTATCCGATGTGAAGGGTCAGTAAATAAATCAAAATATTGTATAAACACAAGGTATTAAATTTAAAAAAAAATGTTTAAATTTAAAATTCGATAAAATTCATATCAAGCAATGTGACAACGGCGCGGCGGCTAACACGAGGTACTAAGCTGTCCAGCAATACGCAATTCAGTTGGTATTGGTATCTGGAATTCGACTCTGTCTTAGTGTTTCTTGCGTACCACTATTTCCTTTTCTTGAGGTGTTTTCCAGTGAGTGCCCGAAAATTGGATTAAAAATTGTCGTGAGTGCATCGAAAATGGTGGTGGACATTTTGAGCATATATTGTAGTTTGTTTTGCTTTTTGGTAAGTATTTAAATTATTTTTACTACGTATGATTATTTGGACGATGTGAATCTTTGGGTACTTGAATAACATATTTTTCAAATTCATAATTTGATTAAAAGTTAAGTTCCTGTTTTAATAGGTTCACAATTACTAAAATTCGAGCTAAAATTTAAGCACAACACTATCTTCGTACTACAAAATCTATACGTTTTATTTTATTTATTTAAAAACTGGAAAACGATTGTCTTGAATTTTACTAAATATTTGACAGTAATAGTTGTTTACATTTTTTCCGTAGGACAGTCTGCCGCGTGCACACGTGGTATGCATCAGATGTGTAGCGTTAGGTTAAGCGCTGTTGTCACATTGTGATATTAATACTCGCTGTATTTTGAAAACTGTTCGCTTACGCCCCTCTAATATACAACTTTTTTGTTCATTTATGATTACTCTATCTCATGCTGAAGTAATGACAGTCAAACTTCTTACACCCTGTATTGAAACTGCAAATACTTTATATTTTCTATTTCAGAGAGCGGATCTGGCCATAACAGATTTCACTATTACCTCTGACAGGGAGGAAGCCGTAGATTTCACAGTACCTTTCATGAACTTGGGTATGTATCAAAACGTAAAGTCATCTAGAATCCACTGTTGAAATTGGATCACATAAAAAAATATCATAGTGTAAATTCTATGATATTTATAAAAGATATTAATGTTATAGTATCGAATTTTGAATGAATTTAAGATTTTAGAAAAGAAATTATGAACACAATTTTTAGTTAGAACTAAAATATGGGAGAATGTAGAACAAATGGTGTAAAAATCTGTACAAACACATACCTACACCTACTCGCAGTTTCATCAAAAAACAAATACATTTACTTGGTTAGTTAGGAATTGGATAAAACTCTTTAACCTCAGTGTATACTTATTAACATTTCTGTCTTCTTTTAATATTACATTAGACAAAAATTTTTATGATCGTATTGTGTCAATTAGAAATTTGAAGGACTGTGAAATTTAAAGAAATAAATAAATAAATTGCTTTGTTGTCACATATATATGTGCTAAACATTCTGCTAATTACTAGAATTAAAATCGTATCATTATTCTTAGTATGTTTCAAGTGGTTTTCTAGTGGTCACTAGTTGTTAACGCATTCAAGCACTATTAACTAATCTCTATTAAAAAGGCTGTCTATTTTTTAGGAATAAGCGTCCTCTTCAGGAAACCTTTCACCGCACCACCAAGTTTCTTCTCCTTCGCCGACCCTTTCGCGCTGGATGTGTGGGTAGCCTTGGCCGGCGTTTTCTTTTTGGTAAGCTTTTCCCTCTTCGTCATTGGAAGGCTTTGTCCGGATGAATGGACCAACCCGTATCCTTGTGTGGAAGATCCACAATATCTGATAAACCAGTTCAGCATGTCGAACTCGATCTGGTTCGTCACTGGCAGTCTTATGTGTCAAGGCTCCGAAATTGCGCCAATGTAAGTATTCACAGAAAGTTCAAAATACAATAAGTAATATACTTTCTGCAATTCACAAAGGGAGAACACGTTGACTTTGCAGATTTTATAATTTTTATTAAGTGATTGTCAATTGAAGCATACTGGTCTGGATGTTTACAAATAGCGTTTCATATATTTGTGATTTAAGATTGCTTCTGTTGTTTGTCTGACAATCTAACTTCTGAATAATACATTCTTCTGTCTCAGAGCAGTTTCCACTAGAATGGTGGCAGGAGCGTGGTGGTTCTTCTGCCTGTTGATCGTGGCTTCCTATACCGCTAACCTTGCTGCTTTCTTAGCAACGGAAAATCCAGTAGAGTTGTTCAAAGACGTACATAGTCTATACGAAAATGCTCCCCTTCATAACATCAAATTTGGAGCCAAAAAGAACGGTGCAACTGAGAAATTTTTTATGGTATGTAAATAATAAGTAGCTGTTGAATTTACCAGTAACTGTATTCCTTCAAAGCTAATTTAATCTGCGATAATCTTAAGTTGTATTTTTTTTTCCGGTACAGAATGCAGAAGATGGCATCTTCCAAAAAATTGGACAGTACATGAAAGACCATCCAGAAGAACAAGTGAAGGAAAATGATGAGGGCGTGAGGAGAGCGGAAAAAGAATTATACGCTCTTTTCATGGAATCCACGTCTATTGAATACACCACCCAAAGACACTGCGACCTACAGCAGTATGGTGGACTACTCGACGATAAAGGATATGGAATTGCAATGCGAAAAGGTAGAAAAAAACACTCTTTTGTACAGAGATATACTGATCGAAATTGTATTTGACATGTTCTTTACCTTCAGAGTCTCCATACAGGAAACGTCTTAGTACCGCCATTCTGAAATTGCAAGCATCAGGTGTCATAGAGGATCTTAAGAGAAGATGGTGGGAAGAACGAAGAGGAGGCGGACAGTGTTCTGTAAGTATTTCGTCTTTATGACGTCTTTTTTTTAGTAGTAGTTACGTTGAATATATTACAGGGTACTACTGAGTCTGCCGAAGCCACCCCTCTGGGACTCAAAAACGTAGAAGGCTGCTTCTGGGTGACGATTTATGGAACAATTTTAGCATTCTTATTCGTTATTATCGAGCACTTGATTTACGTTCTGAAAGTCAGCAGAAAAGCCAAGATATCTTACTTTCAAGCGTTCACTCAAGAATTCAAGTTCTTCTTGGATTTCAATAGCAATGTGAAGCCTGTTCTTAGCAAGTCATCTTTGGATAAGTCAGAATCCGAGGATGCCAAAACAAAGTCGAAGTCCAGGTCCACATCTAGGTCTCCGCCTCCTTCGAAATCGAAGACGAAGTCTTTGAAAGAAAGTCTGAATTCCAAGAGTAATGGAACCATAAGGTCGGGATATCCATATGGGTTTATCGTACCGTCTTCTGGTGAAAGGTTGGATGAAACACAATAGAATTTTGTTGGTAATAATTGTCCAAAATGTGCGTTTGTTACATTCACAATAATAAGAAAAAAATCATTAATCTTTTACTTCCTTCCTTTCCCATAAAATGATAAGGGTTTTACAAGAGAGTCGTCATCTAGTGTATTAAATCCGACTGGTTGTCTAATCATATCATATACAGGGTGAGTCAGTTTTTTGTAGTAGGATTTTAACAGTTGATAGAAAATCATTTTTTAATAAGAAAAGTTCCTATAAACATAGGTCTTAGAACGCTTCGTTTGTGAGATATAGGGTGTAGAAAACAAACATTTTTAAGAATTTTTCTTAATATCTCTAAAAGACCAAATGGATTTAACCAAAAACCGTTCATTTTATAAAAAATTGAAAGAGAGCTGTTTTGTTCAGAATTGATTAAAAAAATTTAGAAATGATGTTATTTTCCAGAAAAATCCACGGGCGTACGAATTATTTTTTTAAAGGGGGCAGTAACCCACCCCAGGCACGTCACTGGTGTGTGAAATGGATAACAGATATCTTTGTTTTATTCACCATAACTAATGTGTTGTGAATACCAAATTTCAGTTCAATATACCTGTATGTTGGTCTTTTAGAGATATTAAGAAAAATTCTTAAAAAAAGTTTGTTTTCAACACCCTATATCTCACAAATGAAGCGTTTTAAGACCTATGTTTATAGGAACTTTTCTTATTAAAAAATTATTCTCTATCAACTATTAAAATCCTACAACAAAAAACCGACTCACCCTGTATATATATTTTTGAAAAGTATAAACAAGGATAGTACACATTCACAACTAAAACAACAACCAGCGAATAAACTTCGCGGAGGAACCTTTGATCTTTTAAACTTACATGTTTATATAATTTTAGAAATTTCTTGAGAGTAGTGACAGGACCGTAATATGTAATTTTATAACAGGATTTTCATAATTATCAGGAAAAACAAAACAATTAAGAAAATATATTCTATTGTTTTGCATTATTAATATCCCTCAAAAGAAAAACATACTTTTATCTCAAACAGTTTTAATATATTTTACAAATCAGATACTTGCAATACCGCTGTCAATATTGTAATTTCTTCAAAGTTAACTTTGTATCTGTTTCTAACCCAACTTTAAACTATTCAAACAAACGTCGGAAAATACTGCAGCAACTTGTAGTAATATTTTTTGCTAAGAACCCAATGTCTTCAAAATTTCAGTCACCAGAATAAAAAATGTTCCACGATGTTAAGAAATAGGCAATGATTGAACATATTTCAACATTGTTCTTGTTTCAATGAACACCAGAATAAAGCTAAATATAATATACAGTCTAGTAAAAAGTATAAAACAACAATATGGGAAAAATTTTCGTCCGTATTTAAACAATTTTGCAAATAAAAACAATGTAAGTCTTTTAGACATTTTATATAGGTATTCAGTTTTGGATACCTGTATAGTATTAATGGAAATTTCATGTCTTAGGGCCGTTTGCACCAATAAGATATAAACTAGGTTTTTTACATTGTATCATTTGAAAAACCACACTTATACTGGTCTAGGGTTCGAGTAGCCAAAATGATCTAACATAACTTTGGAAACATTACGTTCTGTGTTGAAGTGTTGTATCTTTGTTAAATGAAATATTTAAAATTGATTTTTGGAGTTTAATTCTTTCTTATTTTTCTTCGAATTAGAAAGAAATGGATTTTTTAGTTCATAAAGAATGTTATCATTTATTGGTAATAAAACTAGGTAGATAGAGAAAGGTCTTTCTTTATTTTTTGGAGAGCATCCCCAGTGTATCTTTTTAGAATTTTTCATGCACTGCAGTCTTTCTTTCAAAACTACAGTATCTCCATAGCAACAAAAGAAATGTCATTGAATTCGGTTTTCACATTTTCTCAGACTTATTTTTCTTTCTCGAAAATATTGTCTGTCTTTATTTGAAAATAATACTAAGGACATCTTCATTTTTTCGTTTAAAAAATTTGCAACACGAATCCTTTTTTTTCTTATTTTTAAATAATTTGGAATTTATTTTTATTTACAACTAGAAATTTCCATATTTAATAGTCAGAACAGAAATATAAAGCAGATCAGAAAAAATTTATGGTTAAAGTTATGGTTATAATATGAAATTTAATTAGACTGGTTCATTTTACTCGTTTAATAAGTTGTCTCATAATGCGGATGGTGCAATGTATCTTAAATATTGAAGGTAGCTTATCAAAGCCAGCATTATACAGGTTGATTCAAAAAACCGTTGACATGACTTCTAGGGTAGGTAATACATGAAAAATTAAGACGAAAAGTCTTTATAAACATAGGGTCGCAAATGCCTCCTTAACGAGAAACAGAGCGTCAAAGTTTCTGTAAAATTAAATTAAATATTGACTGCAATAATTCAAAAATGCCTGAACATTTCTATTTCAAATTTGCTATGCGTAGTTAGCACCTTAAGACCAATGTTTGGAGTACTGCTCAAAATGTTATGATCAGCAGTAAAGTGTTCAATTTTAACAACCATTTTTAAGAAAAACACGTTTGTAGAAAATTTGTGAATCCAATTTTATTTTCATTCATTTTAGTTTCGCATAGTAGGCTTGTGCCATTCAAAATAAAATTAAACATCGGCTGTCACTAATGTCAATAATAAGTGTACAAGTGAGTTAAGTAAACTAGCTTATAAGCTTCTTTTTGTTATTTTTAATAACATCAATGAGCGTATGAATTACGAATATTCATTTGAAGAGATGACAGATATGCATCTATGTTATGGGCTAACGAATTTTGTTTCCCGTGATGCAGTTAGGCGGTACAGAGAAATGTTTCCTGCATGAAGAACACCAAATCGGCAAATGTTTGATAATATCGATAGAAGATTAAGAGAAACGGGTAAATTAAAAGCAACAAAAATTAATTCTGGACGATGGCGTTATGCTAGAACTCCGGAATCTGAGGATGGTCCTGACAGCAATAGAAAATAATAATATGTTAAGTACCCGACAAATTTTTGGAAATTTAAACATATCTGTTTGGAGAACACTTCGCGAACAACAATTGCACCCTTATCACTTTCAACGTTTACTACCTCAAGATTACCCACCAAGACTAGAGCGATCACGATGGCTGCTTGGCAGACTTGCAGAGAATCCCAATTTTTCCGCAAATATCTTATTCACAGATGAAGCATCGTTTACGAGACAAGGAATAATTAACTTCCACAATAATCATTTATGGAGCGACGAAAATCCTCACGTCATTCGAATAACAAATTTTCAGCATGAGTTTTTAATTAACGTTCATACTGGCATTGTTGGTGACACGCTCATTGGTCCTTTTAGGCTACCAAATAGACTAGATGGCCAGTCTTACCTTCATGATTTAATGGATGATTTGAACAGCTTGTTAGATGAAGTACCACTGGATGTGCGGAGGAGCCTTTAGTTCCATTATGACGGGGCTGCGGGGCACATTCCGCTCGATAAGTAAGAGATTATTTAAATATGACATACCCTAGACGGTGGATTGAACGTGATGGTCCAATCCAGTGGCCCGCCCGTTCACCGGACTTAAATCTTCTGGATTTCCACACTTGTTGTCATGTTAAGGAGCTGATTTAGGTAATTTCAATAAATTCGATTGATGAATTATGGCAACGAATTCAACAAGCCTATCAAACAATTCGTAATACGCCCGGGATTTTTGAAAGAATAAGAAGATCCTTAGCTCGGAGGGTAGAAACGTGTGTCGAATCACACAGTGGTCACTTCTAGCACCTACTCTAATATTTTATTTATTTAATTATTTCCAGTTATACAATTTTTATCAGTACGTTTTCACCCTTAAATTTGTTGTTTATTGGTTATTTAATTCTGACAAAATTAGTTGAAACCTAAATTACTCAAAAACTGTAGTTTTAATCAAAATTTTGAAGGAGACTAATTCGATAGACAATTGAACACTTTACACAAAAATAGTGACAAAATTAGCAGTGGCGTAGAAAATATTCTTAAAAAGGATAACGTTAACCCCGTCTCTACGACACTGCTACTCATAAAATTTTGAGCAGTACATCAAACATTAGTCTTAAGGTGCTAACTACGCATAGCAAATTTGAAATAGAAATGTTCAGGCATTTTGAAATTATTGCAGACAATGTTTAATTTTACAGGAACTTTGACGCCCTGTATCTCGTTAGGAGGCATTTGCGCCCTATGTTTAATAAGACTTTTCGCCTTAAAGTTTAAAAATCGCACACTATTCATAGTACGCCAATGACACTTTCACACCACTACGCTTAGCTAACGCCACGCCAAAGTATTCTTTTCATTTCAAATAGCGACATGCGCGAAGATTTTAGCCGTTCCCGCCATTAGAGATAACCAGCTGATTGTTCTTCAAGCTGTGACACATCCTCGGATCTGGCGGTGTCGGCTACAGCGCCCTCTAGATATCAATGGCCCAAGATTAATTTGACCTAAACCTTTGTTTATATATCACTGATTCAGTCAACGTTTATACAAACATAATAACTAAACCTAAAAGGAAAGACAAATGTTAGGAATTCTCGTGCATCGTATATCAAAGCTGAAATACTCCATAATTTTTTCTAAGTGGATAGATATTTGCGCAATAATTAGCCTCCATTTACAGTTTACTACAAAAGCAAACTTATTCCAAATAAAATTATTCTCTTATAAGGCATCTACTATATTGGGGACGAATTCATACGAAAATCTGTTCGTATAAAACCGTAGCTTCGTACACACAATATGAAATTTTTATTTATATCTGTTCCAGTAGTATGTAGTTTGTAGAGATAGAATTCGACCTTTTAACTTAATTTTCATTAATAAAACATAAATTAGTTGTTCCGTCCAAAAACAATTTATATAAGGATTACTAGGAAGTTAAATTTAAAAATATTATGTTCACAAGTAACATACGCATAAAAGAATAACTATTTCTACTATCACAATTGCTGCTATGTTAAACATAATGGTTTTACTACTGTTCCTGGTGTGTTTATTGGCTCAAGATGCGTTTTGTAATAACATTACGTATCGTTACACTATCGGTAAGTACCTACATATAGTGCTTAGGTAGATTAATATGGCCTATTTTTTAAAATAATTATTCCCGTAAACTTTGTCCTAACCAGGGTGTGACAACGACACTGTTTTCATATTTTTTTTATGTATATGTTATTTTTGTACATCAACCGTGCCCCAGTGATAGCTCGTAAAAATTATGTGATGGTATTTTTATAAATATTTTTATTCATGTTCAACTGATAGAAACAGGGGTTCCTTGTTTTTCCAAAATTTTCTTTTTCTTAAAGCTGCAGCATTATGAAAGTTTGAAAAATATAATATTAATACAAATTAAAAAATAAATTGATTTTTTAGTTGAATATAAAATTGTATATTAAGCATTAAGAACGGTAAGGGTATTTACCGTCCGAAGACAATGTTTGAAGGCTGAGCGAAGCGAAGCCTCCAATTTTGTCTGAGAACGGTATAACTCTTAACGTTCGTGATGCTTATACTATTTTTTGCACGATCGCAATAAATGAAAACCAGTAAGCGCATCCTACTGTCGTAGAAACAAACATGGTAAGTGAACTAAAAAAGCTTGATCGTGCAAAAAATATTTTGCAAATGTATGTACAATATTTTTCGAGGTCTCGGGATCTGGTTACCTCCATTGTAATTTTTTATTTCCCAAATTGCATTCNCATCTTAGCGTTCTAGAACGGTAAGTGAATTACTTACCGTTTTGTTAGCCTTAGCAACCAGTAAGCGCATCCTACTGTCGTAGAAACAAACATGGTAAGTGAACTAAAAAAGCTTGATCGTGCAAAAAATATTTTGCAAATGTATGTACAATATTTTTCGAGGTCTCGGGATCTGGTTACCTCCATTGTAATTTTTTATTTCCCAAATTGCATTCGAATTTTTTTTATCTCTAAAGTTTTCTATCAATCATTCATCTTTTTCTCGGAATTAACCCTATACCTGCAGCTTCTTGTTTGGTTGCTTCCAGTCTGCTACACCCTCGAGACGGCACGGTTTCCTGGTAGTCCAATCAAATAAGGGGCTCATTTTTATTATAAAAAGTTGTACAACCTATGTCTAAAACATTTTTTTCTATTTTCTAAAATGTTTAGTGTTTTTATAAATGAAAGAAACTGTTTTTTGTGAACTTTGTACGCCATTTTGAAAATGAAGCCCTAACATTCAGCTGGGGTAAAGTAGCTCATTCAATGTTACGGAATTTTTCCTAATTTTTACGTGTCTTCGTTTACTGAACTAAATTTTGGCAAAAAATCGAGGTATTTTCGACAATTTGATTGTCCTATGGAGGCTTTCAACAGACCCGTATTGCACTTAATATTTTTTTGCGATACTTCGCTTTAGTCCACGGGCCCACGTACAAAAAAAAAATTATTACCAGCAAGCTGTAACTTTGCGTGCAGCTTAAGTTTGACGAGTCTCCCAAGATTTGACTACGAGGAAAATTCAACAGTGGTAAGTTTTCCCGTGATTTTCAGGAAAATATATCAATCTGGCATAAACATGGAATGTTATGACTAGCACTTTTTTTTAAGTTTAAGTATATGAAAGATATTTTTTTTGACCCCCCAAAAAATTTGACCAACAAAAATTTTGGCATCCAGATTGCTGATTATCACCAACCATGTTGTCGTTAAATCGACATCTTGGGAGCGTCGGACTGCAAAAATATCTCAAGAATTTTGTCGGACAATAAGATACGTTCATTTCAAATCTTATTACCAAACCCTCCCAGAAAAATCAGCTTGCTGGTTGTCACCAACCATAATTTCACCAAATTGACATATTTGGGGTGGGGGACAAACTCAAAATGCCAAAATTTTTGTCAGACAAATTTTTTGGGGAATTTAAAAAATATAGATCTTTCATTTAAACTTAAAAAAAGTGCTGGTCATAACATTCCATGTTTATGCCAGATTGACATGTTTTCCTGAAAATCACGGGAAAACTTACCACTGTTGAATTTTCCTCGTAGTCAAATCTTGGGAAACTTAAGCTGCACGCAGAGTTACAGCTTGCTGGTAATCATTTTTTTTGTACGTGGGCCCCTGGACTATTTATGGAGTACAGTCGGGTATAATACTCTAGTGTCTTTTATCACTGTCTTTTAGTGCTAGGCTAGGACACTAAAGTTTATCTATGTGTGACCTCCTTAGAGTAGGAAAGCTTCAGGAGTTTATGTAAAGTGTGCGGCCTCCTTAGACAGCTTGTGTGAAAGCTTTAGGAGTATACCTGAGTAGATGGGGCGTAACAAAAAACGTCTATACCGGGAGTAAGGTGCCTACAAAATTTTGTGCAAATTTTTAACAATTTCTAAATTATTAAAAATTTTATTTATTGATTTTTTGATGATTGATCTAGAAGGCTTTATATGCAAAATGATAATCATTTAAAACGTACTACACGTACGTCAGGGTAGACGTTTAATCGCTGGCCTTGATGAGTCCGCAGAGGTCCTGTAGCAAAGTCTGACTTAGATTTGGACAATTGGCCTCTTCGGCCAACTGGAACTGGTAATAGACCTGTGTTCTTGACATTCTGTTGTTATTTTTTAATTTCCCAGTTCTAATTCCATAATATTCGGAAAACTTTGAGCTTTCGAAGTTTGTACTTGTGGAAAGTAGTTTGGGTCCCCTTGGACATACCTCTACACTTTGGCCGGTATTGGCTCTATACATGGTGGCTGGAATACGACAAAGTATCCATTTGACATACAGGGTGGTCCGAATTTTATGCAGGAAACTTCTAGGGCAGATAGATCTCTTTAAAATAATATGTGTTTGCCGTATATACATTGGTCTGGAACAGCCCCGTTTTAGAGATACAGGGTGTTGAAGTTGTTAAAAAAAAAATGATTTTTTGTTTATATCTCCGAAATCTATTAACTGATCTCAATAAAATTTGGTACAGATAATGTATGATAGTAGGCCTTACATTCCCTAAAATGTGAGCTTTAAAGATTTAACCAGTGGTGTACAACTGGACAGAGGTCACCCTTTTTTACAAAAAAACTACGCCACTGCATTTTCTACAAGTTATTGTAACGGATTTATTTTCTAATGCACAAAATACGTAAAAAAGGTAACTTAAATTTTTTCAAGTTATTCATACCAATACAATCCCCTTGTGCAGACATTTCTACCCATAATATTACAAGAATATTTATGTTTATGGTATAAAGTACGTGCAATTTGTAAGCACATCAACAAAATTCTTTACACTTGTTTCCACACCACCTTAGTTACTAAATCCCCTGAACTTCTATGTTTGGGGTTATCTGAAATGTAAAGTTTATTCTACTCCAACAGATATAAGACCACAACTACTGCAACGAATAGAAGACGAGTGTAATACAATTGTTGTAAATACGTAACGTTAATTTTGTTTCTTGTTTAGTTGCTCCTGCTTGGTAAATATATTTTTATTATTATTTTGTATTAATTTAAACTAAAACACGCCAGGAACACTACCTCACAGGTGGTGTAAATAATTTTGTTGATGTGCTTACAAATTGCACTTACTTTTAAGCATAAGCCCCCTTTGTAAAAAAGGGGGTGACCCCTGTCCAGTTGTATACCACTGGTTGAACATTTAAAGTTCATATTTAGGGAATGCAAGGCCTACTGTCATACATTATCTGTACCAAATTTTATTTAGATCGGTTAATAGATTCCGGAGATATAAACAAAAAATCAATTTTTTTTAACAACTTCAACACCCTGTATCTCTAAAACGGGGCTGTTCCAGACCAATGTTTATAAGGCAAACACATATTATTNTAAACTAAAACACGCCAGGTGGTGTAAATAATTTTGTTGATGTGCTTACAAATTGCACTTACTTTTAAGCATAAGCATAAATATTCTTGTAATATTATGGTTAGAAATGTCAGCCACAAGGCAAGTAATGGTTTGAATAACTTGAGAACGGCGAATCTTAGGGAAAAAATTTAAGTTACCTTTTTTACGTATTTTGTGCATTAGAATATACATATATTACAATAACTTATAAAAAATGCAGTGGCATAGGTTTTTTGTAAAAAAGGGGTGACCCCTGTCCAGTTGTATACCACTGGTTGCACCTTTAAAGCTCATATTTTAGGGAATGCAAGGCCTACTGTCATACATTATCTGTACCAAATTTTATTTAGATCGGTTAATAGATTCCGGAGATATAAAGAAAAAATCAATTTTTTTTAACAACTTCAACACCCTGTATCTCTAAAACGGGGCTGTTCCAGACCAATGTTTATAAAGCAAACACATATTATTTTAAAAAGATCTATCTACCCTAGAAGTTTACTGCATAAAATTCGGACCACCCTGTATAAAAATTAGTTTTAAAACCCAGACACAATAAAAATGGCACGGTCCAATCTACAATTCGTTAGACATAAACATAAACATCTTGACATAAAATACAAAACAAAACCTTAAAAAATATAATTACTTATTAGTATTAAGATTTAGTTAAGAAAATTGACATAACGGATTAACAGAAACAATTGTTTTTTGTAAAACTTTTATGGAAATGCATATCCCGCATTTTAGGACTACTTCATGAAAATGGATTGAAGAGAGAGAGAATAGATGATACAGCTCTGGCTGCAAGTTCTAAGGAATTTCAAATACATGTCGAACCCTTACACATAGAACCTGATGATGCTTTTGAGTGCTTAAATTCGACATGTCACTTTATTCTGAGGTATCCAACGGTGGCAATATTTGGACCTACCTCGAAAATTAACGTGGACGCAATCCAGAGCCTTTGCAGTGCTAGAAATATCCCTCATGTTTTAACCGATTATGTGGATTCGCTTCATGGCGATACCCAAATTAATTTTTACCCTCACATTGACCTATTGATGAATGCGTACATGGATATACTCTCTAGTATGGACTGGAACCAATTTACATTTGTATATACGTCTAGATATCACACACCATGGATTAAATTTATTGAAAAGGCACAAAGTCAAGGCTATGTCTTTGATACTGAATTCATAGATCTGAATTTTGATCAGGAAAGGTAGTTTATGTTACATAAATTAATCATTTATTTAAGCTTAATATTATGCAAAGCTTTTTTATAGGAGCATCGTCCAAAAATTAAAGAATACTGGTAAAACATATTTTGTAGTAGACTGCCTTGAGAAAGATACAGTGAATGTGTTGCATCTCTTTCAAAATTTTGGTATGGTTACCGAGGGTTATCATTACTTTTTCACTAGTATAGACACCTTCAATGGAAGCATATTGAATTTTAAGTTTAGTGGAGCAGAAATTATCAGGGTAAGGGCAAATATTTCTGTATACATCTAATTCTTCAATGTATAAAAACAGCAAGAAATTCATTATTTCCTTAAAACCGAAATAAGATTTAAATACGAGTAGATATATCGATTTTTGATAAAATTAGAGATTACGCTTACTTTTAGGTAGTTTCTTTTTTATTTATACTAAAGTATGTATTCAACAGTTATGTCCTCGTGATCTCCGTCTGCAGAAGTATTTTTAGATCTAATTTAAAAGTTGTGTTATTTTGTGTCACATAATCAACTGGCTTTTTATTTTTGTGCAATTGTTGTACTTTTAACATTGTGTTTATATTCTATATACTCTTCATTTAGCCATTTCATGATTTCTTCTTGTTTCCATGTAGATGTTGAGAATTTTATTATATTCGTCGATTCTGGTAATCATTGCAGAAGGTTCGATGTAAGGCCAAATAAATGCAAACTATTTTTGTCCCCATTGTCTCTGTATAGTCCAGTATACAACGGTAAAAATAGGGTATTACCTCCGAATTCTTGACACACGCATCAATTTTCATGAAAATTGGTGAGTAAGCTCATTTTACCCTCCTTTACAAAAGTTACATATCCATAATGTGTACTTATTGTTTTTCGGGGGTGAAAACTACCCCTTCTTGCAAAAAAACGTAAAAACCATAGATTTAAATGTTATGCCAATAGAATAAGCATTCTTTTATGTTTTAAATAATAATTTTTGATTTGTAACAACATTTCAACCCTTAAAATCCACCCTTTATGAGGAAAAAAACAAAAATTAGTTTTCGCGGCTCTGAAATGTTTTGCAGAAAATAAAGCAAAAATGTTTATTCACGTCTTCATAGCATTTATAATGACTGAAAGACTCATCACTGTTTATAATATTACTGATGATTCATTGCAACGTTTCATACCTTAAAAACAACCCTCAATGAGGAATTGAAGAATTTTCAAATCTTCAAAACACTCAACGATACATTACTAAATTCAACGAGATTACTTAAAACTCGAAACTTAAATTATGTAATTAGTGAAAGGGAAAATAAAAATTGTTTTTTTTTTTTTTGGTTTTTTTCGGCTTGGGAACTTTTGGGAATTTAGGCCTTTTCCCGGTTCGGCCATTTTCACTGAATATTACAATTTGTTTTTTCACGATACCTTTTTTAATTTTTAATATTTTTCATCGCTTCAAAAAGCAATTTGCAGGGAATTGCAAGAACTATAAATCAACCTTTATAGTTGAAGGGTCTTGAACTCTTCGTTTTCAAGATTTTTAGATTTTAAGGGCTCAAAGAAGGTGGTCCTTACACGCAAATACAAATTGAAAAACGTAATATCTCAGTTAATTTTTGCTTTACAGAAAAATTGAAAGAGAGCAACAACATTATAGAAAGAGGCTTTTTTAAATTTTTTAGTCATTCTAAACCGGTCAAACTTGCAGAGCCTATTATTAGTACCTAAATAAAGTCAACTGTACATGGATTACGCTTAGTTTCTATTTTTATGCTTCTGCCATATATTTTATTGTTGTTGAGCATTTTATTTTTATCATAACTCCGCGAATTTTTCAGCTACGAAACTTTTTCAAAAAGCATTTTAAAGGTCTTTCCAAGCACTTTAAAAAAGGCACTTCATTTTCTTTGAAAAATTAGTTCTTTCGCCATTATTTTACGGTACAAGGTTTGATTTTACTTTCCACAAAATAAACAATCACCTTTAGAGAGTTATAACTCGGTTATTATTACATCTACGGTAATCCACAAAAAAGATTAAGATTAATAGATTCGTTATTCCAAATGCTTTATTTATGCTTTATATGGGTTTTTCGATAAAGCGCAAGGTTTTCGAGTTATTTATCAAAAATGGTTGAAAAACATTTTCAATCACAAATAAAACGTTATAGAGCATTTTTTGCTTAGATTCACCCCCCTATTGATTTTTGCGATTAAAATGGGTGCCTTCATTACCACCTCCGAGAAGGGGTGGCATTCACCCCAGGGTGAAAGCACACATCGGCAATATGTAACTTTCGTTTCTTGAGCAATTTTCTACTTACTGTTAATGTAATCGGTGCGTATGTTATGGACCAAGTAATTAATGCGGGCATTATTAATAATGTGCGAGCATTATGAATAATGTCTAGCTCTATCGGGCTAAGTGATTAATTACTATCTAAACTTCATTATTTATCACATTGCACGGTCATTATTATATTGCTACGTGACAATTGGGCAAAACTTCTATAAAACAAAGATATGTTGTGAAATGTTTGTTTTAAATTTTATGTTTTGTGTTACCTATATTTTTAATATGACTTTCCTTAAGTTTTAAATGCAGAAAGTAGTGGATTCTTAATGTAGAAGTCCTTGCTAATTAATCCAAATAATGAGTCTAATTATTTAAATTGTTTAACATTTAGTTTATTAAGTTAAATGACAATAATAATAAAAAAATAGTAATTAAATATGTTTGTATTACTCTGCCCAAAAGGTGATGGACAATATGTATAATGCCCGGTCAATTTGATTATTTGAATAATTATTATCAAATTGCACACTCATATTGGGCATTTTACATAATGACCGGGCATTATGTATAATGCCCGATTTATCACTTGGTCCATAACACATATATCAAGAATTCGGACCTAAAAACCTTCATATACTGAGCTAATAGTGTCATCGCACATATGAATTATTACGCAAAATTCCGCATTCACCTCCCATAAATTAATATTAATCACCGTACTTTCCAAAAGGTGCCTTTAATGCCATAGAAAATCCTTACAAAACTACTTCTCGTCTGCTGTTGATATTTAAATCTCGTCAAAGCTTGAACCGGGCGGGCGGACAGTCCGCCTCCTATTTGATCGAGCCTTTATTAATGTTAGATTTTAAAAATAAAATCCATGAATCTTCCTGCAGATTGTCGTTGTCAATTAAATTTTTTTTCCTGACACGTATTTAGTTTCTTTTACACTTTCAACACTTTTTAATTCACGATAAACACTTCTAATCGATATTTGAAATATGAAACTATGGTCGTCTCTGATTGTACAAGATAGAAGTGGACGCATTAACAATAAAACAATCCAATTGCGCACATACTATCGGTACACTATGCGAAATATATGGTACATTACAGTTTACATGTTGAGAATAAACAGCATTTTTTATCAGATTAAGAATTTGTAAACATTGACGTTTGATTATTTATGATTCCATACTATTTTGGAACTTTGGTATAAGTGCAATAATTAAATATGATTTTGTATTTCTATCTTGTTTGATTTTTGTTATTTTAGCTGCAGTTAGTAAATTCTAATGCATATGAGGCTCTTCTATCCAAATCTTGGGAATTATCATATTTACCAACAATATCAGAATTTTTAACTTTTGATGCGATTGAGATGCTCGCAAATGCCTTGAAAAGTTTAAAACCAGTTGAAAACGAAAGTGTAAATTGCGAGGATGGCACACAGTGGGAACATGGTGAATCAGTTGTGAAACAAATAATTTCTGTAAGTATATAAATATTTTTGATGCCACCAAAATTACTTGTGAACGACAAAAATCTTGTTGGATGAGACTGTAAGGTATAACCCGTTGTACAAAAAATAAGGTGAATTTAAAAAATACAAAAAATTTATTTGTGCTTCCAAATCAATTTCGTCGCCTTCAAAGTAATCCCCACTCGATACAATGCACTTATGTCAACGTGTTTTCCGAACTTTGACGTGGTTTTTTCAGTCTTGGTTCACCTTTTGCAATATATTGACTCAATTGATCGGCTGTTTCCAGGTCCTAAAAGTCTTTTCTCCAGTAATGATACATATCGTGACGTCTTGATAGTCAGAAATCATTGTTTCACATATCTCAACGCGACGCTGTTTTTCCAATAAGTTGAACGTTTTTGGCATAACAAATCTTTTAAAATGGTATTTACCGAAACTTTTTAAATGCCAACATTATCAACGAAGTCTCTTATTGTTAATAGCAGAAAATCTCTGATTTGATTAACGTGTTGTTCATCAGTTTACGTTGATAGTCGTCAGGGACGCTGTTCGATCTTAACGTTTTCTCAGCCTTCTTTAAAGTCTTTGTACCACTTGTAAACATTTACACATAACCTCATCACTAAAGGCTTTCTGTAACATCCTTTACCTACGACCACTACTGTAAATACTTAAAAACACACCGTCTGCGATCAATGTAAGATTCCTGTTACGTACGATAAAAAAATCGCACGATTTTTTTACCAAGCTGTGCGATTTTTTTGCCGTACGACGTAATAGGAATCTTGCATTGATCGCAGACGGTGTGTTTTTAAGTATTTAAAGTAGTGGTCGTAGGTAAAGTTTAGTACGTAATACGTGGTGCAATGCAATTACGCACTCATAGAATTACGCACTCGCCGCTACATGGCGTCGTGCGTAACTTTTCAATTCGTGCGTAAAATGCTTTTTACAACACTTATTACGTAATATACTATAACGTCTCGGCGGCAGAATATTCATTCCGCAAACAAAATTTAATGGGAATTCTTTGCTCAACAAAATCAGACATAGTGAAAATCGATAAACTCACTTTCGTATGTTTACAAAAACACCGAGTAGCTCTGCAGCAATTGAATTGACTTACCATAATATCAAGGATAGTACTACCAACCCACAAAAAATTATAATTATGCTTTCTAATACCCACGAATTTTAAGTAAGTAATTCACCTTATTTTTTAGACACAGAGATATAGAAACTGATAAAAATTATAGTTTTATTTTTGACATATAGAGAATTTCTTGAAGTTGGCCAATCCTTTTTTACTCGGTTGTTACAAAAGAATAAAAAATGTGTTCATATTTTTCTTGTACAATTTTTTCCATATAATGCAGTGTTATATTATATTTTTTTCTTAATAGGTAATATTTTAAATTCGTCGATAGAAAATGCGAATATAACAAAACAATTTTGATATAAAAAAATTATTTTAGACAAAGACATTTATTTAGAGACAAAGACAAGATAATAGTATATTACGTAATAAGTGTTGTAAAACGCATTTTACGCACTAATGGAAAAGTTACGCACGACGCCGCGTAGCGACGAGTGCGTAATTCTATGAGTGCGTAATTGCATTACACCACGTATTACGTACTATACTTTACCTACGACCACTACTGTAAATACTTAAAAACACACCGTCTGCGATCAATGCAAGATTCCTATTACGTCGTACGGTAAAAAAAATCGCACAGCTTGGTAAATAAATCGTACAGTTTTGTATTGACCGTCGCTAGGCGGTTGCTAGGAAATCTGTATGATTTTTTTACCGTACGTAATAGGAATCTTACATTGATCGCAGACGGTGTGTTTTTAAGTATTTACAGTAGTGGTCGTAGGTAAAATTATTTATTTATGGCATAATTTTACTTGCTTATTATTTGCCGAAGTCATTGCTATTTCATAAAACTCTTAATGACATCATTTTTAACTCAAACCACTAATTTATCGAACTCTCGATTAATTTAAAGACTTGCATAAATTTTATTAATAGTTCTTTCAAATGAGCCCTAATTTATTGAAATCGATTAAGGCATTTAGAAGTTATGACAATTTTAAAATTTCAAGATGTCGTCCTTCATACTGGCGTTGCTATGGTAATAACAAAAGAAAAAAATTCAAACATAACTTATGAAGGGTTTAACAGTGTATCTAAAACGTTTATTTTGAACTTACGTTATGTAAGCGAAATTTCGAAAAAACTACAATTTTCTGTAACACTACAGCAGTTAAGCCCCTAGCGGTGAAGTTACACACTTGAAAATATTATATATCAATTTCATTTGACCTTATTTGTTAATAGATTTTTTATCTCATCATCGTAGCACGTCTAGTTTCCTATATGCCTACAGCCGCTCCGTACTGTTAATGGATCACCCTGTAGACTATATTATAACGTTGGAAAGGCAATAATAAATTAAATTCGGAGAGTAAAGATATACAGGGTGTTTTGAGAGATATAACAAATTTAGGTGCTGTTGTCTACGGAAACAACCATATAATGAGTACACTGTAAAAAAATTTCACTCAAATTTCACTCAATTTTACTCAATAATGTATTAATTTCTGTACACAAGGTGAAGTAAAATTTTTATTCTATTAATATGAGTACAACTGAGTGAAACTATTGCATCAGAAATGAGTAAGTTTTACTCAAATCCGAGTTACTGCTAACTATCAATTGAGTGACTCTATTCTGAGTATAAAAAACCAATTTAGAGTTGACTGTTCCTCTAATATGGTTTAAATTTAACTATTATTGAGTCATTTTTTACTCAAACTTGGTTTGGTAATTAACTAAATATTAAGTGCAGAAATAAATCACTCATAAATGATTAATTAGGATATACAGTGTTGAAATTAATTCACTTCCTGTCCTGGCTGAGACCCGTCAGCTGAGATCCACCACCGTCGGCTAAGGCCTGTTTTCTTAGCGATCACGCATTTATGGAGCATCTAACGGTCCCCTATCAACTGTGGTCGAGATTACAGAAGCAATATGTAAGTGGTACCATCTTCACGGCGCCATTCAAATTAATCAAAGTACATTTGAATAAAAATTTGAAATTAGGTCTACTGTTTAGACGTACTATGGTGGTAACCAGTGTTGGGCATTAATCAATTAAATTTTCAATAAATTATTCAACTGGTTAAAAAAGTAATTGCCATTAATTTAATTGCAGTTAAAATTAATTGCAATTGAACTATTAATTGCACGCTGTAATTAATTTATTTGGATTAATCTATATTATGTCTTGCAACTAAATCAATTACAATTATCTTTTTCAATTGTTCTAAAAAACAATTAAAACTAAGAATTACCTCCGTTCGATTCAGACTTTTTTTCAATTCAACGCACCATTTCAGAGTTATAAGACCACTTTTACTGTATGACGTCAGACACCTCTTGTTTCCGAAATTTATTTTCGACATACGGACTTCGGACCTTTTGCATTCAACGCAGAACGGACAATCAGAACCAGGAGTGTTGGGGAGATTTTTTTAATTATTTTTTCGATTCAACGCACCGTTTCCGAGTTACATCCGTTGCACACATGCCGGAACCGGCTAACCGGATCCGGTTACCCGGCAGCAAGGTGTACAGAGTATTATGGCAGCTTTCATACGTGACGAAAGGAGCTATCCGGCGAACGGCCGCCGGGTTGTAGCCGGTCGCCACCACTGCCAGCCCGGCTGCCGTGTACCGGTTATCCGGCGACCGAAGTGGTAATAGTACATAGTTTTGTATTGACGATTTCACACTTGCCGGGTGCTTGCCGGGTTCAGTCGTCCGGTTTCATTGAAAAGAACAGGACGTGTCAATTATTTTTTTAAATATTTGTACGCAACTATGTCGAATGTTTGTTCGCTAGAAGTAGATATAGCATTCGTTATATCACTGCTTGAATCCAGACCTGTCTAGTGGGACAAAACTGTAGCCTTTTCATATTTTTTGGATATTTTTAATATTTTTTGTTTTTTTTTTATTGCGACGACATCGGCAATTGCCAAGCAACATAATTGCAATGCGTCTACGATTCATCTCTTGTCGTGATAAAAATGCAACTGACAATGGGACTAATATCGGCCAAACCGGTTTGAAAATTAATTTACGTGTGAAAGAGCCAGCCGGATCCGGATAGCCGGGTCCGGTTAGCCGGTCCGGCTAGTGTGCAACGAAGCTGAAAGAGCCAGCCGGATCCGGTTAGCCGGTCCGGCTAGTGTGCAACGAGGCTTACTCTGATTTAGGTACAAGTGCACCAAATACGAGTTTACGTGAAGAATTTATTTAAGGGGTACCTATGTTTGAGTGAAAGTACTCAGTTTTAGTTTAAATATAATCACAAATGAGTAAAATGATCAAAATGCCCAATATTGAGTGAAAATGTAATTTCACTCATTGGATTCACTCAGAATTTTTATTGCTTTCACTCACACCGATTTTATTACAGTGTACATATTACCTTCAATAGTATTCTTTATATGTCAGTGTTTAATCTGCCCTGCAAGAAAATATGAAATTTAATATACATATAGGTATAATATCTCAGCGCGTTAAAGAAGACCACTTTTTGAGTGCCATTGATTATATTATTAACAATAAAAGGTAGTAAGAATTTACAAGTACCTACATTTTTACATTTCAAAGTGACTATCAATTTTTAATTTATTTGTTAATTAAAAAAATCGACCATTAGAAAATTTTGCAATAGACATTTTTTCTTCCTATATCCTCAACATAAAGTTTCTCTAACGTATATTAAAGGGGTTATATTTTTTTATTGCACAGAGTTCGTACACTGGATTGACAGGACCAATAAACTTTGGATCCGATAGATATAGAAATACATTCACATTATTCATCAACGAGCTGAAGCCTCATGATATGGTGGAAATTGGAATTTGGAACACATCGAATGGGTTTAAATACACAAAACCATTTAGTCATGAAGAAACTGTGGATGACTGGAAAAGCAACCCATTGGTGGTGGCTACATCGCTGGTAACTATTAAAATATCTTTTATGAAAGGAAACCGCAGTTTAAAGCCTTTCTATTCAATTTAACTTTCAAATGAAATTTAATAAATAACTTTTCCACTGTAGACAGAACCTTACGCTATGGAAAAACAATCAGCAAGTACCTTGCAAGGGAATGATAGATATCAAGGTTTTGCCATAGATTTAATAGAGGAAATATCAAAAATACTAAATTTTACGTACATTATTGTAATAGGAAATGCGACTGGTAGACCAGATTATGGAGAGTGGACAGGAATGATTGGAGACGTTCTAACGAAGGTAGGTGACTTACGTCAGAAGAACCTATAAAAATGTAAATAATGGAGTTGATTTAGTTTTCACACATCATCACACCGAGGAAATAGATAATTCTTCATGACCACACAATAAATACTAGAACACAGTTAAGATTTTAAAAAAAAGAAAGTAAAGTTTTCAGAACGGTACGACGAAAAGTTCTCTTTCCGTCAACATCAACTTTTCGGTATTACGATACAGTCTGCAATGTCACAGATCTGTTAGTACAAACATCAGCTATGCTTTTAAGATAATAATTAAGTTATTTGGTACAACATTTAACATCAAAAATCGGATCAATTTGTCAGTATTTTAACTAATTTAAACACTCTTATTAGTTTTTTTTAGTATTTTGACAATTTTTTGAAAATTGATATTTAACAAATTCTTGCACCAAACTCTTGTAACCTGAGGGTCTATTTCTTTATCCTTTGTTACAAACAGTGCCGTAATAACATAGATTTGTGAAAGGTAGCTCGATACGTATGAACTTGGGCGCTTACCGTTCTTTTCCTCACGTAGCTTTTAATCCTTGGGTTGGTCATACGGGTGTTCCACTCCACAGTTAACGAGTCACTTAACGAGAACTAGAAAACATCAGAACTTAAGTAATGTTTAATTTAATAACGATGTATAAAACAACTATAACCCAACGGATTCAACTAAACAATATCAGTTACTGTTTTATATGCGACAACGTGATTTCTGAGATTCAGGGAATCGCGTATATATGGCAGAATTTCGAATCAAGAATTACCCATTAATAAATTAACCTCGAGACTCTAAAGTTAAATAGACTGGACTGTCTGGAAACCCAACGAGAACTGCCTTTTTAGGAATCTCGGCACTTTTACTTCTACACTGCCAATTTTGAATTCAGAAGTTTCGTTATCATGTTATGTGCAAATTTAGATTTTTAGGGGCAAAGAGGGCGTCTCCTTTATGCCTTAAGTACTTGTTATCCCCCCTTCTCCTGAATCTCGGGAACATCCTAAGATTTAAGAACTACTGCCTTGAAATTCTTACTCTTTTTTTGTATGAGTTTCGCGAATAGCTATAAAATATCGATTCTCCTTTATCATGGCTAAGTCGACCTCCGGCAGACGGCAATAGATACCCACATAGCAATAACGTTTTTAAGTTAACTTGTTCAAAAATACTTTCGAATTTTATGGTTTACTTGTTCTGATTACCGGCTAAGTTTTATTTTATTACTGTTGGTTAATGACCTTATCTGGCTACTTTAAAATCTACTTAGAACCCCTTAATTGTCAGTATTTGTTGCCTAGAAGAGGCTAATATTTATTACCGTCTGAATAAGTCCGTCTAACTGACTAATCTAACAGGTCTAGCAAAAGCCCTACTCTATTCAATTTTCATATAAAATTTAATAACGCAAACATATTATTTTTTTTAATTGCTGGATTTTTTTTATCTAGTCCTTTAAGATTTCTGCTTGAAGATATATGAGCAAAGTTTTCTGAGATTTTAATTATCTGTTTTAGAGAGCAGATTTAATAATATCAGATGTGACTGTCACATACGAAAGATTAGGTGCTGTGGAATTTACACTTCCAATCATGTATACTGGTAAGTTCTAGACACCTATAGTAGGATCATATTCGATGAAAAGTAATAAATCATTGCCTGTCAAGGGAATCAGTGCAACACGTTTTAGGGGGTTTTGGAAATTGAATAATTTCTTTATGCATTATGGATTAATAGTTATATATTTATGAAGGACAAAATGAAAAACAAAGGCATCTCCTTCGCACATTGGGCGGCAGGGCAACAATACATTTATTACTCCCTTCATCCTCCCGCATATGACTTGTGTTTTGTGATTGTTGCGGCGGCGCGCGTACCCGCCCGGCGGCGGCGCCGGCGTGGTCAGTTTCGTTTCGGTTGTATTGGTGCTGCGTGTTTCTCGCTCGCGATATTTGTGAGGTTATAACTGTTATAAGTGCAATTACATTTCGTTCGGGCTGTATGTGTGTTTCGGGCTATTATTTGAGAATTTGTTAGTGAAATCATATTTCTTGTGCTCCGTAACAAAAGTGTTTTTAGTGTTTTATTTGTGTGCTGTGTGTGTGTTTCGGGCTGTTGTTTGTGAATCGTGAATGCTATTATATTTTCTGTGCTAGTGAAGTGAAGTTTNCTTTTTTTTCTCGAAAATATACAGACGAATCAAGGAATTTGTTGAATGATGCAAAGATCTGCCGATTTTAATCCTTTCCTTCGCTCGATTGATCGATGCTATCACAGGGGAACGGGATGCGCACGCAAAGTAAACGGGTCGCTCGCGCGCGCCACGCGCAATGTCGCTAAACGGACGTGTTCTATTCAAAAATTTCCCGCGCGAGAATTTCCGCGCAAACGCGGGAATTCCGCAGGTCTCATTGACATGCAGGAAATTGCTGGAATGCTGTAACGCGGAATGCGGGATTGCAAACCCTAATCCAGTCGTCTATGACTCGGACTTCGAAATCAAAGGAGCTAACGCTAAGATGTACAACTTACTCCGTTTTAAACTTGCAGGTATAACCATTCTATTTCAAAAACCCATGGCCACGCCACCAAAGTTATTTGACTTCGCTAAGCCTTTCTCTGCAGGAATTTGGGTAGCAATAGTCGCAGCATTTGTGACGGTATCAATAAGCTTGTTTATCGTTGGAAGAATGTGTAACAGCGAATGGCAAAAACTGAACGTTACTTCGAAATACAGCACTAGTCAACTAACCTTCCCAAACACGGTTTGGTTTGCTGCCGGAAGTCTCTTTCGGCAAAATACTCGAGTAAAAATAAGGTACGATTAGAAAAATTGATATATTTGCAACACATAAAAAAATAAAAAAATTATGATTCTACTTATTTATTTTCTAATACGTCGGTATGTTATTCTCATATTGTTTTGTCATTGTTATTAATTGTAACTTTCCAGATCCATTCCAGGTAGAATTATAGCGGCAACGTGGTGGTTACTTTGTCTGGTAGTGATAGCAATGTAACCAGAACACAGTGCGTATGCGGCGGTATTTCAGATTTTACATTCAATTTCATTTTAAATTTGAAATGGTTCATCTTACGCCTCCTAAAAATAATGACACGATTTTCCTTTGATAAAAGGCCGACAATTTTTTGCTCTACTTTGCATCGAATACGATCCTACTATATATACGTAGTATAATATAGTACGCTATTTTTCTCATGTGTTCCCAAATATTAGAGGAAAAATTAATTATTCTTCATTCGGATTCACTTACGAATTATAGATACATTGAAAATATACTCATATAACTTTAATATTACAAGTCGGTATTAGATCTCTCTGACTTTTGTACAACTTTAACATATCTCAGTTCCACTAACTTGAAAATTTCGCTTTCAACGTCACACGCAGATAATAATGATAGATATATATGTTACTGGAAACTATTCAACTTGGTGACAATTGATTAAAAAGTTTGTCAGAGGTGTTAATAGAATTTCAACATGCATTTCAACAATTCATTTGTCATATTTTTAACATGACACGTTAGAAAATTAGATACCAAGCCTCATCCGAGTGCCATCTATACTGCAAGACTAGACAACTTCAAAACTGCAGAATTCTATTTAATGAAAATTGTTAGTATTTCCAGGATTCTGCCTCTATTACAGAGAAGTTATTCCCTCCCTGCTTCGTCGAATCGGTACGCCATCATCTATTATTTTGTGACATTTCCAATTTTGTTATTCATTGACGTTACTTTACAAATAGGTACTTTATAAATATTTATATTTATACATTTTATATACAATTTCACCAAAGCAAATGGTGAAATTCACCTATTCACCCTATTCACTAAACCTTGGGTATCTCAGCGCAACGTTTAAAATATTTGCTTTTTCGTTTCCATGAAAATGCGCAAGGTCCTAAATGTTAGATATCCAGTCGTCTATGACTCGGACTTCGAAATCAAAGGAGCTAACGCTAAGATGTACAACTTACTCCGTTTTAAACTTGCAGGTATAACCATTCTATTTCAAAAACCCATGGCCACACCACCAAAGTTATTTTACTTCGCTAAACCTTTCTCTGCAGGAATTTGGGTAGCAATAGTCGCAGCATTTGTGACGGTATCAATAAGCTTGTTTGTCGTTGGAAGAATGTGTAACAGCGAATGGCAAAAACTGAACGTTACTTCGAATTACAGCACTAGTCAACTAACCTTCCCAAATACGGTTTGGTTTGCTGCCGGAAGTCTTTTTCGGCAAAATACTCGAGTAAAAATAAGGTACGATTAGAAAAAATTGATATATTTGCAACACATAAAAAAATAAAAAAAAATCGTTATGCTTCTACTTATTTATTTTCTAATACGTCAGTATGTTATTCTCATATTGTTTTGTCATTGTTATTAATTGTAACTTTCCAGATCCATTCCAGGTAGAATTATAGCGGCAACGTGGTGGTTACTTTGTCTGGTAGTAATAGCAATGTACATAGCTGCACTAATATGTTACAGGGAGGAAGATTTCGATATGCTCTTCTCTGATGTAAAAAGTCTTGTTAAAAATGCAAAAGAACATGACATCAAGTATGGAGCTAAGAAAGATGGAGCTACAATGCAGTTCTTTGGGGTAAATATCAACACATGTTTACTTTAAACATTTGACGTTTGGAACATATACTACTCTCTAAATATAGGCTGTAACTTTGAATGCCCATATTTACACAGGGGCTACCTTTGATCAAAAATACGTTTTACAAGTTTGTTCTCTCAAATTCCGTCGAGAAAATTGAATTTTTTCGTACATTTCATACCTCGCCGATAGACAAGTTAGTGTGACCTCAAACAAGGAACCTGTTAGTAGCAGCACATTTGGAAACTGCGGTATACAGTATTGTCAAATCTCATAATTTAAAAAAAGTTTATTAAAAAATACTTGCTCTTTGGCATGTTGCTTTTATTTAATATGTGTTCATCGTGAGTCCTTTCATCGCGCAATTTAAAATTTAATTCTTTTCAATAGGATAGAACTATGAAGCAGTACCTAATAGGTAATCTAACAGAAAATTCAAACAGTAATAAACACATAATGATAAAAGATATACACAAAAATAAGAAAACAATCTCTTTACTCACCTGTACCTGTACCAACATTTTTAGAATATATGACATATTTGAAATTTTGTGGCTAATCTTTGAATACTGGTACCAGTATCTTCTTCCATTGTGTTTAAAATTTCTGGATCTAACTTTTTCACCCTCTAAGTTTGTTCCTGTATATCAGTTGGCGTTCAAAACTTAAATTATCTCTTAAATGTTGAACCAATCTTACAAATATTTTCACATTCGGTACCTACCTGTCGGTGAGGATAATCCATCTGAATATTGTCTTCTTGCAATAACATGGTTTTCTTCTGACAAAAAGTAGGCCCAAACCATATCAGTTACTTTTTGATTCATATACAATAATGCATTTTCATAATATTACACAGAGGAAAATAAAAACATAAAAACCAGAAAAATACACCGAAATAAATAATTTTATAAGACACATACACATAAACATCGTCTCGTAAACCGAACTGAACAGTAAAATAAAAATGTAACTGGTGATGACGTATTCAGCCATTCCTGTTTCGCCGAATTAATGTGGCAGTTTTTTTTGTAACCGTTTACCATTCCATCATATCACACCAGGTGTGAAGTCAATTGGTAGTAGCGGTATTTCAGGGGCGGCAATGCAGCAATTTGATTCTGTTGCTATTTTGTTTATTTTAGGTTAATTTAATATGTCTAGCATCGATTGAGTGCTGAGTGCCTGCATAAAAAAAAGGGTAGAAACATACCCGTATTTTGATTCACAAGTTAAATACTTACACTGCTTAAAGAAATAGTGACACGATTTAAAAAAAAAAACATTTCCTATCTTATTTATTTGTTATTACGTACGTGTTTTAAAGCTGTAGATATAATTATTTTAAAATATGAATTAGTTTTATTTACAATTTGCAACATATTTTACGTAGGTACCAATAGATATTAATTAATATTTAGGTAATAAATTATGTAAAAAAAATTAAGCAACAGAACGTTTTTTAATGTTCGGCATCTCTTCCATATTGACATAAAAAAAAAATCGTTGCTAAGCGTTACAAGAGCGATCTGTTTTCATAAAATGTTTTTCATTGTCGCTCTCTAACAGTTAATTTAAAAAGGTAACAACTGGCAAAACTGGTGTGCAATGATGTAACTTATCATACTAATTCTGACTGGCTGGGAAACAAGAATTAAAGTTCAGTTTATAACTCGACTATTTATTTTATTTAAAAAATCAGATTCGTATCCAGGGAACACGTACTTATTAATATCCCTAAAAAACTAACCCCACTTAAAGTTACATCCTGTATATTACTATTGAACGAATTTAGATTTCAGCTGTTACAAATCAATACGTAATAAATTTTTAGTCATCTGCAGAACCTTTGTACCAGGAAATATACCAACATATGATTGAAAATGACGAAGAAATGGTGTCAACAATTGGGGATGGCGTACAAATGGCATTAGATAGCAGATACGCATTTTTAGGTGAGGAAACCACAATCGATTATATAACAGAGAGGTACTGCCAACTAACAAAATATGGTGGCCTTATTAACGAAAACTCGTTTGGTATCGCAATGAGGCCTGGTGAGTTACAAAAATACATATGTCAAATTTAAGATTGCCAATTCATATTGTTCGTATTGTTTCCAGGTTCACCCTACTTGACTGCGTTTAATACGGCAATCTTAAGGTTAACCAGTATGGGTAAACTGGAGGAACTGAAGAGAAAATGGTGGATGCAAGGAAATTGTGCTGTAAGTTGATTTATTTTTCTCAGACTTCAAGTACATGTATGAACTACATATTTAGATACTACTAGTACTATCTCATCACTCAATGATACCAAAAATTTTTTAATATCTACGTCTTGTTTTTCAAACTCTGACAGATAATGAAGTTAAATAATGCTGGGTGTAACAGCGACATTGCCACTAATTTTCAAGGCCAATTTTTGTAGCCATAACAAAAAAACGATAATAATATTTTTTCGGATAGATTCCCAAAGCTCTACAATCCTTCTGATATTGGGTATGAAACTCAGTTTTTGGTCAATTACTAAAAAATTATTGAAGATGTAGAATTGAAATCTGATCGAGCACACTTTCCTTATAATCACCTCCTACATGCGAAATTTTATTAAAAAAACTAACCAATCGCGTAGGAGTTAGAAGAGGGCTTAAGGATTTCATATTTTACAGATTTGGAAAAATTATTTTTCAAATAATCTTTTGCACTTCTTGAGTTTCTTCATGTACCTGTACCTGTACCTTGTGTTAAAAGTCCAATAATTATTACTAAATCAAACGTTTATCGGCAGCGAAATATAGTTGGAAGTTCTTTATTTTACTCTAATTTACACCAGTAATAATTAAGGAAAGTGTGAATTTATTCATTAGACTATCGGATATTCAAATAAATAATGTGAATTTGTGCTTAAGTTACTCCCTGTTAAAAGTGCGTCTGGTACTTAAAGCACAGCTTTCTGTAAAAGAAATCTTTATTTTCTTTTAACAGTTAAAACCCCTGAAACATTTTCTGGTTGCTACACCACTTGTCAGTTTTTCATTTTTTCAAATTTGTCATCTACTACTTACAAAGAAGCTGAACCAAATATGAAATCTATATCTTCAGTGACTCCATTGATCAAAACTAGTGTTTCACTTCCGTTTTCTGAAGGACCGTGTAGATATTTAACGAATAATAGAGAATTCATTTAACATATTGCTTTGTTTGTCTTCATTTAGAGCGAAGAACCTGAAGCCGCCCCTCTCTATGTATACAACATTTTAGACCTTATACATCTTACTCTGTTTGGCGTAGCTCTGGCAGCAGTCAGTGCAATAGTGGAACTTCTTCTCCACGTTCTCAAAAAAAGCAAGAAACTAAATGTTGGTTTCTCTAAAATCCTCAAACTGGAGGTTCAACAATGTTTTAAGAGAAACACGAAGTCAGTTATTGATCGCAATTTAATCACTAAGCCTGTCCCTGAAAACGAGGATAATGGGAGAACATCTGAGGCTATAGAATTATCGTAGGGTTTGACTTAACAGCTGTACGAAATATGTGCTTAATACTTGTGTTTGTTGTTACAATAAAGTAAAATTTGTTATTTATTCCATACATTAAAATGGTTTAATGACCATCCTACAGTCCACTGTGTTTTTAATTTATATTATTATTATGTCATGGGATATTATTGCGTTACTAAATATCATCAGTGTAGTGCTAAACAAGCAACTATTGCATACATGAACGCAGGTATCTTTTGCGTTTATAAAAAATACGTAATAAAATATATAAAAAAATATATTTCAACGTAGTGTTAATTTGCAGGAACATAATATTCTAATAAAATAGGTTACAGATGACACTATTGAGGAAGTTTTTGATTCTTAACTTCTCATTACTTCTATTTGTGTTCTATGGTGTATTTCTAGTGTTGTATTTTAGATCACATCGCAATAAGAAAAATAACATGCAACTGGGGCTCCATCAGTATGTTTTAATTGGCCGTTGTAAAGACAAAGACGCCGTCTCAGCTAAGGAAAATCTGTGATTCCATAAAAAAATATTTCGAACACTGCATTAGGGCGATGCAAGCCTAATAAGCTGCATGTTTTATTTATGTTTTGCTTTTAATTCAGAACCGTTCCGAAGGAGCTGTGGAGAACTGCAGCAACGCATTTCATGTTAAGAATGCACCACTGATATACTGAGAGAAGTACTTGGCAAAACACAACAAGTAGGTCTGATGACCAACAGAGAGCACTACGGCATGTAAATTGTGTGACTTGATTTCAGTACCTGCAAAACGGATAGCTATAATAGATTTCTATTAATTACAGTATGTAGGCAATGGATGTCTTTTGTTTTTACCACGTCTTGTTTTTGAGGTACACACCGATAACTTATTTAACGACCCTCATTTTACTCATATTGGTAAAAGTACGATAAAATATGTTTATCCACAATTATAATTGGACTTTTATCCACACATATGTACAGTCTAAAGTGATACTTTATCCGCTATAGGAATAACGTAACTTTATTTCACTAGTAGAATAATGAGAAAATAATAAACTATAATAAATCAAATTTAATTTATTTACTTATTAACATTAACATTTGCATTTATAGTAATAGACATTTCGTTTTTTGTTTCATCACTTCCTTTCCGTTAATAACAACCCTTGTAGCATTTTTGCCATCATTTTCGGAACGCATAACATCTGCCGAAGTTTGTGAAGAATTTGCACAAGTTACGAATGTCTCTTCTTGTAAGGAACAGCTATATTTTCCTTGGATTTTCCTTGCAATACCTATCAAGTTTGTTAGATATAGACTCCTCAACATAACTTTCTGCTACAGAGGAGCTCTTCCATCTACCATGCCCTTTGATGGTTGTAAGATCAGCTCCATTATTATCCAATAAAGTTGTTGAAGTGCGCATCATACAATGGCCCCTAGGTATATGCTTCTGGATTTACGATATTCAGGAATCGAGCAACTATTGAGGGTACCTTCGCCAATATGTTGATTCCAACTGGCTGAGAAGTACATTTTTGAGTGATGTATTTTGAAAAGAATCTATCTTGTGTTAGGTGAATTGGCCGCAGGCGCAAAGAAATATAATTTCGACAGCATTCGCGCAAAATCCTTCTTCTGTAATTGTAAATTTTCTTGAAATGCCCGTCTTGGTGTAAGGTATTGAAACAAGTAGGTAACTGCCAACGTCCTGTAAGTTACTAATTTTCACATTTGTCAATTCGCGGCATCGACAGGCACCCGAAACCCACATTATTAGTGCAACCTAAAATAATTTAACGTTCACTATATACCTAACAACATGTAAATGATAAAGAGATATTACCTTAATCATTAAATATTATTTATCGGAAGCTCCAGCCAAAAATTCTTCAATATGTGCTCTTTCCAATACTACAGCTTTTTTTGCTTTGTATCCTATCGATTCACGCTTCAAATAAGCAGCAAGCTTGTTATATTTTCCAACATCTATATTTTTGTAGACCTTTATAGTAGCCTACAATATCCAATACTTCGACCACATAGATGAAATTACATATTTTTTCTTCAAATTTAAAAAATACGATAGCATGACTTCTTCATTTATTGTCATTACTCTGCGTTTTTCCCTCCATTCGTTAAATTGGGCGAACACTTTTTCGTAGTCTTCCTTGGATTTCACTGCCAATAAATGGAAAATTGCTTCTGGGGCTTCTTCAAAAACAGCCACTGGAACACAGTTACTTTCTTGCATTATTACCGAATTCAGATAGAACTATTTATTAAATAATTGATAATAAAAACAAGGTACAATAGCAACCAGTAGGTATAATAAAACCTACCACGTTTCATTGAGAAATATCAAGTCGTGGGAATATTTTTTTATTAAATTCCAATAATTCTAACTCCACAAATATGATTATGATGTGACTGTGGATGAAAAGTTGTATTGCATTCGTGTTTTAGTTGCCTTTTATCCACTTAAGAATATTAAGTACATCCTAGACAATTTTTCTAAGTAGATAAATATTTGTACAATAATTAGCCTCTATTTACAGATTATTACAACTTTATTTCAAATACGTTATCTAAAATTTTTTCTCCTAAGCGGCTAGTAAATATAGGGTGATTCACAACTTATCCAAAAAAAATTAGGAATAGATGCGGCATGAAAAATGGAGGCAATATCGTAAAAAAAATTGTAAAATCATTATAGTTTCCGAGGAAAAAATTATTGAAATTGTAGTACTTTCAACCATTACATAGCTGAACAACTGTAGTCTCTAGCGTAATTCGTAATACGCGTGGAGAGCCAAGTGACCTCAGAGACTACGAATACTGAAATCCGATTTTACAGTCGTCGTTGTCATAGTGTTTACAATAGTTTTTTAGTAGTTAGTGTCAAAAATGGCTTGCGTGTATAGCAACTCGGAGTTGATGGATATCGTTTTAATTTATGGTGATGCAAAAAAACAATATTTGTATTATGGTGAAGCTTTTGTGTTATGGTGATACAAGACAGTATTTGTGTTTAGTTCGTAGAAACTAAGTAAGACGGACCCAAATTTGTTTATACGTCGGTGGACAAATTTTGAACCGTTGTTATAATATCAAGTATGTCAAATTTTTTTTATTTACAACCACAAATTAATTTTATTAATTAATAATAACAATCACCAAAATCAGTTGAATTTGCTGATATAAAATAGTTGCTATAAAATTCTATTTATTCCTTTCCTTGCAAAATTCTTTCAAGTTTTTGTCCGTTTTTATCACTGCCGCCGTGACGGTTGCATTGTGCCAGGCCAGATTTTATAGTGGACCACTTTCCAGTGCCTTGCAGAAGTGTATTTTTAAATCATTTTCGAACTGCCCTTTTTGATTTTTTCTTTACAAAAGTGTATTTGTAAGAGCCTCCTGTACATCCAGAATTTTTGATAAGTCCTGAATCACCCTGTATATTGGGGGCGAATTCATACGAAAATTTGATCGTATAAAACCGTCGATTCATACACACAATATAAATTTATTATTGATATCTGTTCTTGTAATATGGCAATATAGCTTATCGCTCAGTTATATTGTCTGTGGCAGTAAGTTGAGATAGACTTTGACCTTTTAACTTAATTTTAATTAACTAAACATAAATTAGTTGTTCCGCCCAAAAATAATTTATATAAAGATTACTAGGAAGTCAAATTTAGAAATGTGTTAACAAATAACGTACGCATAAAAGAATTACTGTCACTATTACCACAGTTGCTGCCACGTTAGGCATAATGGTTTTACTACTGTTCCTGATGTGTTTATTGGCCCAAGATGCGTTTTGTAATAACAACATTACGTATCGTTACACTATCGGTAAGTACCTAGTTTAATATGACCTTTTTTTAAAAATAATTCTTCCCGGAAACTTTGTCCAGGGTGTTAAAAACTTGGAGTATATCGCTAACAAGGTTGATATAAACTGTAATCAGATTGTAAACATAACGACACTCTTTTTCTTGAAAAATGTACACTCCTTAATTAAAAATCATTATTTTTAGTTTAATTTTCGGTTCGTTAAACGTAACTTGTGCTTTATGTTGTTTCTAAGTATTTATCCTTGCTATAGCAACGACAAACAATGTTTATATATTTTTTGTGTTTATAGTTTATTATTTTTATATGTATATCAATCTTGTTCGGATTTAGTATTTCTCATTGTCAGAAACAAACAGGTTTTCTTGTTTCTCGTAAAATTTCTTTTTCTTAAAGTTACAGCATTATGAAGTTTGAAAAATGTAATATTAAATTAAAATTTAAATAGACTAGGCGGTTTTGGTCTGGGTGACTCGTATATCCACGGAGATTTATGGCTTTTTGGCTTTAAAATATCACTAGAAATAAAAAAAAGTGGGCTTAACTTTTGGCGGCACAATATGTTTAAAAAATTCGAAAAACGTCATATTTTTCTTCCTATTTAATTATGTATTTTTTCAAGAATTGATTTAAAGCGAAAATGGAAGAGGAAAAAAGTTTGTAATTAAATTTTTTACAAAATATGACGTAGTTATAAATCGAATGATTCATGATCATTATTGTAAAAATCGAAAAAATCGCCAAAAATGGGGTTAAAAGACATTACTTTAAATTGGGTATAGGACATTCATACTTGGCTCAAATTTCATCAAAATCGGTTCGATAGATTTTGCATAATAATTTTGCAATCCAGGTTTTGAAAAAAAAATTTGCAAATTTTCAAAATTTTGCACAGCAAAAACCAAGGCCCTTAAATACTTTAAAATTTAATCACTTATAGAAGGGCACTCAAGCTTTCAAACGCTTTTTGAAAAATTCGAATCCGTCAATTACGAGAGCTCTGGCGCTTGTTTAAACGATTGCAACGATTTTTATGCAAATTTTGAGCCTTGCTTTTTTTCAAAAAATCATTGTGGCTTTATTTATTAATATTCTCAAATACAGGTAGTCTAGAGTAAGAGTTCAACTATCATATCTGACATTTAAACAACAATGAATGTGAATATTTAAGATAAAGTTATTGAAAAAAGCGGCAGCGCGTTTTTGTGCATGGACCCATTGTGATCAGTACAAGTCTGGCCAGTTTCCGTTCCTGGTTATTGAACTAGAAGGAGTCAGGGTTGACGTTCCTCTCCACTTTAGCTGGGATTGACTCAGTACTGGATGGTTGGAGACGGTTTCGTGGTCCCGATTAGAAAGTTGAGCGAAAATTTGAAACCTTGAATACGACAGAATATCCATTTGAAATATAAAAGTAATTTCTAATCTCAGTCATAATAAAAATGGCATGGTTCCCTCTAAAATTCACTAGAAATACTTACGTTTTGGCTTAAAATATAAAATAAAGCCTTAAAAAATTATTATTAATTATATTAAAACTTAATTAAGGTAATTGACATAGCGGATTAACAGAAACAATGGTTTTTGTAAAAATAAACTTTTATGGCAATGCATATCTCGATTTTTCAGGCCTACTTTATGAAAACGGATTAATGCGAAAGGCAATCGACGCTACAGCTCTGGCTGCAAGTTCTAACGAATTTCAAATACATGTCGAACGTTTATACGTAGAACCTGATGATGCTTTTGAGTGCTTAAATTCGGCATGTTACTTTATTCTGAGGTATCCAACGGTGGCAATATTTGGACCTACCTCGAAAATTAACGTGGACGCAATCCAGAGCCTTTGCAGCGCTAGAAATATCCCTCATGTTTTAACCGATTATGTGGATTCGCTTCATGGCGATACCCAAATTAGTTTTTACCCTCACATTGACCTATTGACGGACGCGTACATGGATATACTCTCTAGTATGGACTGGAACCAATTTACATTTTTATCTGCGTCTGGATATCGCACACCATGGGTTAAATTTATCGAAAAGGCACAAAGTCAAGACTATATATTTGATATTGAATTCATAGATCCTCTGAATCCTGAGCAGGAAAGGTAGTTTACGTTACATACATTAATAATGTATTTTAACTTAAGTATTATGCAAAGCTTTTTTATAGGAGCATCATCCAAAAATTAAAGAATACTGGTAGAACATATTTTGTAGTAGACTGCCTTGAGAAAGATACACTGAATATGTTGGCTCTTTTTCAAAATTTTGGTATGGTTACCGAGGGTTATCACTATTTTTTCACTAGTATAGACACTTTCAATGAAAGCATATCCACTTTTATGTTTAGTGGAGCAGATATTATCAAGGTATGGACAAATATTTCGATATGCTATAATTTTTTGTACGCAATTCTTTAACGTATAAAAACAAGAAGTACATTATTTTCTTGAAACAGGACTATATAGACCAGGCGATATCTGTTTTGGTTCGGGTGAATCGTATATCCACGGAGATTTTTGGCTTTCTGGCTTTCAAATATCACTAGAAATGAAAATTTTTCTATGCGCAAAAAAAACGTGGGCTTAACTTTTGACGGCACAATATGTTAAAAAAAATGGAAAAATGTCATATTTTTCTTCCTATTTAATTATGTATCTTTTTAAGAGTTGATTTTAGGCGAAAATGGAAAAGGGAAAAAATGTTTCTAATTAATTTTTTTACAATACATGACTGGTTACAAATCGAATGAATCATGATTATTATGGTAAAAATCACAAAAATGGGGTTAAAAAACAATACTTTTTAGGGAATTTTTTGGTTGTACCTCAAAATTAA